AGACGATGCACGGAAGAAGGTGGAGAAATCTCCTGGAGATTCTGGGGAAGAGGAGGAAATGAGGTTGCACATTTGATGGCTTGGGTTGATTGTAGATGAGAGGAAACTGAGTGCTGGATAGAAAAGCCGCCAATTTTTATTGTCCTTCGACTTTTGGCTGATGCCAATGTAGTCCCAAACACTTGATCTCTTTTAATTGAATACAGGCGAGTTATAAAAAAAATGGTGTGCTTAAGCCATGGGAAATAGTGTAACTAATTATTTTTATTTTAGAAGGTTGTCAATTCGAGTTATACAGTTATGTCGATTTGGCAATTGGTATGGTCCGACCAATGTACAACTAGTTTATGTTAGTTCATGACGGTTTTACAAACAAAACATGTACGGAAGTGGTAAGTCAAGAACACTAAATGAATTTAGGCATGTATAAGTATACATATTTGAAAATAATATCCCTAAAATGTATGTCATATCCAAACAAAACACAACATTTAAAACAAAATAAAAAATCTTTATTTTTAAATACAACATTTAACGTCAACATTCAAAAGTTTATACTTTAATTCAACAAATAATACAAACATCTAAATATTTATACTTGAATCCAAAAAATTAAATAACATCAACATTGAACTTTCAAATTCAATAAAATAATCACAAATTATCTTATTAATTAAATTCACAAAAAGAGTGGCATTCCAACAAGTTTTATAACAAGTGCCGGTTGAAACCAGTTGTACCTGTCAGCATGCCTCCAGCATGACAACTATGATATCTAGTCACGGAGAAATTTGTCAATATAAGTTATAAACTCGATAAGCACCCGCGCTATGCTGAAGATGTGTTGAAAATTTCATTAGCTGTTTAATTTTATATTTACATTATCAATATTAAATCTTCTCTTGACAGTCAATCATTATTCATAGTTAGACAAAAAAAATTAAAAATGATAATTAGACTATATAAAAAAGATGGTAGCAGTCGGATTCTCATGCCCATGGTTTCCTTAAATAATTAACCTAGCTCTCATTAGTAGGAGTGTGTAACGGGCTGGTATGTACTGGATCACATCGGACCAATCTAACTCTTGTACAGGACTTCATCAAATCAAATATAATGTGGTCTGATCCTTAGTTTTATAAATTTTATAAATGCTTGAAAACATTAACTGAATTAACTTTTGGACCGGACCAAACTAGACCAAGTAGGATTGAATGCATTGGTGCTTCATACTAAAATGTCTTTCACTATTGAATCGCGGTTCTCGTAATTTTAGTGTGATCCGGACCAAACTATAACACACACTTACAAAATCAGCAAGTTCAATTCCAAAATTTGAGCCAAATTTACTAACCTAATTGATTGCGTGCTGCCCTCCACCCATTCTTTTCTCTACCTCCAATTCTCTTTTGATGAATCTCTACCTCCAATTCTTCTGTCTACTTCCCAAAATAATTAAAATGTCTTCTCACCCCTCCATTCTTTTCAAAGTTATTTCCTACTAATAAAACTATCATTAACCTTTTTTTTTTTTTTACAAAAGATAATCATATATTGATCAGAGAAAAGATAGTTACATCCTGGAATTTATCCAGGCCAAAAAGTCAAAAAAGCGACACGCAGTCAGGTATAAAAGAAGGGCTTTCCTAACCACCAAATGGGCTACCCTATTGCTACGCCGACCTACAAACCGCACACTGGAACTAGTTGAGACTAATAAGTACTGCATAACCTCTTCAAGAAGGGCCCCAACCATGCTATCCCTGACTTCAGTATGGCAAAGCTTATCAATAATCACCTTCGCATCCCCATCGAACCACTCCCCAGTAAAGCCCACTCCTCGACACAAAAGAATAGCCTCCCGAAGAGAAAGAACCTCCGCAACCAAAGGGTCAACAACCCCAGCAAACTAAAAACCGTGAGCCATAAGAATTGCCCCAGCCTGATTCTAACCACCATTCCCCCAGCTGCATGGGACGCATGCTTGACAGCCCCATCCCATTGACAAATAACCGGCGGGGAAGGGTTATCATCACCCACCGGGTGCGTAACTGGGGCAGGGAACCGCTGGACCCTATCAATTGGCAAATCGATCCATTCCTGATATTGTTGGTTAAACTGTCGTATAAGAGCGAGGATCCCGAACTGCTTGCCTTCAAAGACAACCCAATTTCGAGGCCGCCAGATCCTCCACAGAATTGCCACAACCGCCATAAACAGTTGAGGCTGGTGCAGGATTAGCATTAACTGCTTCAGGAATAGAGGAAAAGTGTGCATGGGAAGTCCCTGACCAAGGTACTCCAATCCCGAACAATCCCACACGGCCCTCGCCACCGGACAGTCAAGAAACAAATGTTCCATCGTCTCCTATTCAGCCCAACACACCGGACAGCGAGGCTGAACTCGAATGTCTCTCTTAATAAGGGCTTCAATCGTAGACAGGATCTGATTGCAGATTTGCCACAAGAAAACCCGCAGCTTAGGAGCAATTGGAGCTTTCCAGAGACGAATCCAGCTAGGCCTATCCATCCAGCTCACTTGCGAGTGCCACCTGGCTTCTTTATTATCAAGTAAAACTGTCAAATGATAAGCAGATTTCACTATAAAAATTCCACCCACCGTCTCATGCCAAACAAGGCGATCCTTTATATCATGACGAGGAAGAGGGATTTCTTGAATAGCCCGACAAGTAGGAGGGTCAAACCACTACCTAAGTTTCTCCTCACGCCAACCTCCTCCCCCTGGGCGCATCACCTCAGCCACCACCAGCGGACCACCAGCTGGCACAATCCGGGGGTTGAAAACATGAGCCTCCGAGTGAAGCCGAGGCACCCAATTCGTATGAAGTAGCGGGGCAGAATGTCAATTGCCAATTTGCCATCTAAGGCCCTTCTCTAAAATCTTCCTACCGAATAGGATACTTTGCCAACCCCAAGAAGGGCGAGACCGAGGTGTAGCCTCAAGGAAACTACCATTGGGAAAATACTTCCCTTTATAAACTTGAGCAAGAAGGGAATTAGGATCGTTGAGGATTCGCCAACCAATCTTTGCTAGAAGCGCCTGGTTAAAATACTCAAATCGACGGAACCTCATCCCTCCATCATGCTTACTCCTACACATATTGCGCCAGGACATCGACCTAATTTTAGTATTCCCATTTTCCGCACCCCACCAGAACCTGGCAATATGTTTGTCCAGAAGGCGACAGAGCAAAAGGGGGAGGCTAAAACAGGACATAACACGAATAGGCAACGCCATGGCCACTGATTTGATCAAAGTTTCTTTCGCAGCCCAAGAAAGGGTCTTCTGTTTCCAACCCTGAAGGCGAGCAAGTAGTTTTTCCTCTAAATATAGAAAGTGTCCGTCTTGGATCGGGAAGGGTAGGTAGCCCTAAGTACTTGTCCTGGACCCCTACCGCACCTACTCCGAGGATTTGGGCAAGGAATATCTTATCCGGACCGACGATATTTTTACTAAAGCAAACCGCCGACTTGGCCAAATTTACCCTTTGCCCACTTAGCTCCTCATACTCATTTAGTACTGTGATCAAATTTTTGCATTCTTGCAAAGATCCCCTAAGGAATTATTATGAATCATCAGCAAAAAACAAATGCAAGATGCGAGGAGCCCGGGGAGCAACTTTGATCCCTTCCAATTTCTTCTCAGAGATAGCCTTACGGAGGAGCGCTGCAAACCCCTCTGTGCATAGCCAAACAGTAGGGGAGACAGTGGATCCCCCTGGCGGAGTCCCCTAGACGAGGTGAAGAATCCCTTAGGGGTGCCATTCATCATGACCGAAAACAAAGTCGATCGAAGACACTCATGAACCCACCCACGCCAGGTTGAGTTAAACCCCAACTTGTCTAAAATCGCTAGTAGAAACAGCCATTCAACTCTATCATAGGCCTTTTTCATGTCAACCTTTAGAGCCATGTACCCTTTCTTACCTCACGTTTTGATTTTCAAGTAGTGCATTAATTCATGACCCAGAAGGACATTTTCCACAATCAGCCTATCTCGAATAAAAGCATTATGGCCCTCCGAGACGATCTGCGACAGCAGGCATGCAAGTCTTTCCGACATGATTAGTTATGATCTTATAGAACAACTGACACTAGCTAATCGGTCATAGCTACCTCATGTCTTCTACATTATCAACCTTCGAGATCAGAGTCAACCATGTATGATTAAAACTATGTAACATCCTGCCAGTAGCGAAAAAAGAGCACACTGCCACACTGACAGAATCGCCGACAATATCCTAGAAGGACTTAAAGAATTTACCAGTGAAGCCATCTGATCCCGGTGCCTGCTTGGAACCCATGGAAAATACCGTCTTGCGCACTTCCGCAGGTAGAACTGCTGACGTGAGGCTTGCATTCATATCATCAGTAACGCGACAATCAATTGGAAGCTCAGCCACACGATCAGCCATATTAAGCACCCGACTCTCTAATGAGAAGAGGGATTGGTAAAAAGTAGTGGCAATATCAGCCTTACCACCCTCATCAGTTATCCATTCCCCAGTCGTACTCTGTAATCCGGCAACAAATTTTTGCTTGCGACGAGCCCTAGTGACCGTATGAAAATACGAGGAATTTTGTGTAACACCCTAACCCGACCGGGTACTACTTTTACTAAAATGCCCTTGAAAAATAAAATAACCAAATCTTGAATTTCAGTGGGAAAATTTTCATAATAAAATACTGAAAACACACTCTTGTAGTTCAAAGCAAAGCTCTAACACGTGGGCAAATTAAGCTCAAACTTTAAAATCTCAATCTGATCTCCAGTCTATACTCATAATCATAAAATGCAGATAACTAGGTAGTCTCTGTCGTTGCTGCTACTGAAAATCTTAACTAGGCACCCTCTGTGACGCTTATACTGCTCTCCTCTAGCTGGCTGCCCTCGAACTCGCTGCTCACTAACTGCTCCTCTAGCTCCTCAAACTGGTGAGTGAGATGGGGTCAGTCTACGCCCTTACGTTTTCATACTTCTAATACTTGAGTACTTTACTTAAACACTTAACTTTAACTAGTGGAAGTTGTTTGTACTTCCAATCTTAAAATCTTAACTCTTAAACTTTGAGGGAGTTGAAGTTACTCTCCTCTCTTAAAGCTCAAATCTTGACTTAAATACTTGACTGACATGGGGATCCCTCACTAGCTAGTTCGGTTGCCAACTCATACGTATGAGAAGCCATCCAGGCTTTCCTTAAACTTAAACTTAGTTAGGGGAGTCGTAACGATTCATCCCCATAACATCTTAAACTTATCGTGGTGGCTCTTCACCACGATTCTCAAGAGCATAACTGCTGCTCATCTTAAAAGTCTCAATAGCATAACTGCTGCTCTATCTCAAAATGTCTCAAAAGGCAACGGACTGGCGCTAGTGACTAAAAACACTTAAAACGACTTCACCTTCTTGAAGATGAGTTACTTCTTAAAAAGAACTTCACTCTTTAACTTAAACTTACTTGTAAGTAAAGCACACAACAACATAAAACTGGAAGCATAACTCACACAAATCATATGACATCATATAAGCATACAAAGGCAAGTACGGCACATAGCAGTCAAATCTCAAAAACTTAAATACCGTAAGGCGTAGAATTTACCCCCTTTACACTCACCTTGTTATCACGTCAATTGACTCGAACAAGGTTTAATTACGTGACCATCTGATCTACCCCACCTCTTCAAAACCCAAAACAAATAATTCTATCCATCTTATACATGGCTTCTCCCGCTTTCGTGGGACTCCTCACGACCTCGTTGATTAATCAACACCATAACCCCCACTCCTAGAGAAATGGTGACGGTGACCCATTTCATTGGAAGCCCACCGATCATTCCATCACCCACCGTCCATCTATATTTGTTTCCTTCATCACCGTAATGGCCGCCAGCATGCCAAGAAAGAACCTCACTAGCTTTACCCGTTAACATTTGTACCGCCAGCTTAGCAGTCTTCCTTGCATCTTTATGGCGCCTCTCCATCCGGAGCCTAGCAATTCGAAGAGCAGCCTTCCTCGCGTCTACAGACCATGATCCAGAACCCCACTCTCTAATCGCCATCTCTTCCGCTAACGGACAATTGATTGAGACCACCGCCATGAAGAGAGCAACGCATCTCCAATCCATTTCCTTGCTTCTGTGCGGGCTCAAATAATTCTTGTCCATTAGCTTCCCATTTCACAGTCAATCTTTGATCAATCACGTCCCGGGAAGAAGAGTTGCACGGGGAGATAAAGAGAGGGACGGCCGCTAGCGGGTGTTAGGGTTTAATTAGATGTTGCTGTTGTTATAAGCGAAAGGGAGACGAGTGAGTTTTTCTTATTAAGTAAGAATATACATGGATGGCCTACTGTTGCTCTCGGATTTGTTAGGCTTTAATTAGACTAAGGGGTATTTTGGGACTTGACGTTTAATTAGGTTCCTTAGTATACGTCAAACTCGACAATGTTTCAACTAACATTTTGAGTCCTTATTGATATTACGATGGAATTTGCCAAATATTCTTCAGGGCAAAATGGTCATTTTGTACTACGAAAAGGATGGGGTGTAACATTTTGATCACCCTTTTTTAACCATCGGACCCTCGATTTTTGTTGCCAATAGACCTCTTCTGCCTCCCATTGGCGATTCAGCTTTGTTTCAAGCACCCTCACAGTTTCCCAGTCAATTGGAGAAATTAATTTCACCCGATCAATCTCAGCCTGGAGAGTTCGTATATTCCGGAGTGAATTAGTAGTGCCCGCCCTGCTCCAGTCATATAGTAAATGACTGAGTTTGTTAAGCTTCTCCCAGAGTTGATACATAGGCGTCCCCGGGATGTCCTCCTACCAAACATACGAGACCATAGCCCTCACTTCTGGATTTTTCGCCCAGCAAGCACCAAACCTAAAGAGGGGTCTACTGTTTTGGATATAAGGCTTGTCTGATAAAGCAGGGCACGGTGATCAGATCCTTGGTCCGTGAAGTGCTTAACCAGGGTATCAGGAAATTGGTTTATCCAATATTGGGAACAGAGAGCCCTATCTAGCCGTTGGCGAATCCAGGCCGCCCCCATGCGTTTATTAGTCCAGGTAAACAGGTCACCCTGGTACCCTGGGTCATGGAGGCCCAATTCATTGTTAAAATTCCGAAGGTGGTAAGCTTGGGTGGCATTCCAAATATTACCACCATCCTTCTCATTTTCCTGCAGAGTGACATTAAAATCGCCCATGATCACGAAAGACAAAGTAATTCCATCACAAATTTCTCGCAGCTGAGCCAATTGGCTAGCTCAAATTTCTTCAATGCAGCTAATATAAACAAAAATCGCAACGTAGGAAAAATCCACTTCATTAATTTGAGCACAAAAACAGAAGTTGGAATGGAAAAAAAACTGAAGCATCTACTCAGGGTGCCCAAGCCATAACAAGACCACCAGCTGTGTCAACAGCATCAACAAAACAACAATGCGAATTATGAAAACCTAAGCCCCGCATACGATGAGACACGAATTTGTGGCGGGATCTTGTTTCTGAAAAGAAGACAAGGTCCGGTTTATTAGAATGAACTAAACCGGCAGCAGTTTGGAATGTGAGGGATGGCCCAATTTCTCTCACATTCCACGCGAGAAGCCTCATTTATCTGACTGGGGCCATTTTTGGCTGGCTTCCTCCACCTTATCAGATTCTTCTTCCACAAATTGTTTTTTGGGGCTAGGATCAACTCCAATCTCCCCATCCACCTCATTTAATTGTCGTTTCCGCCCTCTACCTATTGGATCCATAAGATCCGATCCATAATCATCCAATGGACCAGACTCCCCACCTGCCTCTTCCTCCTCCTCCCACGCTCGCATTTGTTGTACGAAGTCTAGTGCCAATTTGGTATCCCTTTGGTCTGGTTCACCTTCCTTGATAGGGAGCCCTGCTTCAAAGGCTGCCTTTACCTGGTGAACTCTGTCCTTTTTGGGACGAGGATCGCTGCCATTGTGGGTCTCTCGAGCTCGGCTTTTGATTACGAACTGGGATACCTCCTCTTCCGACGAGGGCGCCTCCAAATCCACACTACCCTCATCTCCAAGCGAGAGGTCATTAGGGTAGACCCCTTTCAGTTCGTGCGAGACAGGTGGAACTCCCAAATCCTCCACACTCAATGGGGCTTGAGGAGGAGCTGGGTTCCCGCGCTGAGCAGCACCTTGCTCCGTCCCCCTAGCAGATGACAATCGTTGATCCTCCCTCCGTACGCCATCACTTTTAAGAGCAGCTTTCACAAGACGGCGCCCTTTGTACTTGTTTGGAGGTTTGACCTCAGGCTTCGTAGGCAGCGCATCATCGGATTCTTAGAGAATGAGTTTACTCCGGTACGCCCCCGCTTGGGTAGGAGGAGGAGGTGGAGGCGAGTCACATTCCCTGCCACCCTCTGATGGCCTTGACCCATCGCTCCGAGGAGCAGTAGGGACCTCTTCAGTACGAGAAAACCCAAATCGGGAGGGCCTCTCCTTCCTTTCTCCCCAGCTCTTCTTCGGGTCCCGCATCGCGTGGTGCTTACCTCTGGCAGCAGCGAACCATTTTTGCTTGGGGGAGCCGAGTTGAATCTTTCAGCCAACTTGCATCTTTGGTGGTTTCATAATGGGGAATCCGTTCGGGCTCCGCCTGGTTTGATTAATCCTCACCCCATATCGGTCCTCATTGGCCCGGCTCCCGTACGACCCCATTTCCTTTTGCTGGCCCAGAGTCTCGTCATCAAGATTGTTACGATGAGGCTAGTTGTCACCTTGAGCAGCTTCTCGGTGCTCCCCCAAATCAGTGTTTATCCACACACTCTTCGAATCTCCTCTAAAGTGATGGGGTCCAAATCTTTCCTTGCCCGTAGGGGGAACATAAGGACATTCGTTGAGAAAGTGCCCCACACGACCGCAATGGAAGCAGAAAGAGGGTAAATATTCATATTTCAGGGATACCCAGAAGCATCTTGTATCATCATTGGCTGCCATAATCTGCGAATGTAGTGGTTTAGTGAGGTCAAGCATAGTTCTCACTTTCACAAAGTGTTCACCAGTTTCATGGCTCGCGAAAACACCAGCCTCAAGGACGTGGCCGAGCTTATTTGCTGCCATTTTCCTCCCGAATTGTTAGTTACAACAATCGTCCTTCACATTCCACATTTGGACACGCTATGGGACCATGGCCAGGTCATCAAATATTTTCTTCGAGATGATAGAAGACAAAGGAAATAGAACGGTGATGGAGGGTTTTAAATAAGGTTAAGCCCGCACCCCCTAAGTAACGTGATCCGAGTCGGTTTAGGGTTTTTTTAGTTTTGGTGGGAGTAGGAGTCAAATCATGCATTAACTAAATGATTATCGCTTGAAGGAAAATCCCCCAAAATACGGGAACCAACTCCGGGATTAATGGACGCTGAACAGCCCTTTCCCACCCCACCCGCCTAACCGGCGTTAGGTCGCTGGTGGTATCTCGACCAAAAGTCATGAGATTAGTAGAACAAATGGGCAAGCCAGCCCATGCGGACGACATATCGCAATTATTGATCATCTTAAACAACAAAGAAGGACTAGTTTTAGCACCGCTAGGCAAAACCGGCCAAAGCGACCAATCCAACTTTTCTTCTTCCATCTCCGTAGACGAAGGAAGCTTGATTCTCCAAATGGAGTTTTTGCAGGAGCGCTGGCATTTTAAAGGGTACACATCACTTTCCTCCCGCGGAAAGCTTACAGTTTTTCGTTTGCCCGAACTTAATATGGCCTGGCAAGTATTTATGGCCTTGAAACCAGAACGAAGAACTAGATTACGAATATGGCGGTTCGTCGGAGGCCGGTCGGATTTACCATCCCCTCCCTTGAACCTCGCCGTTTCGGACTGACGAGGAGGCTTAAATCTGGATCCCCAATCATCCCCCCGCCATAGATTCCTAAGACAAGCAGCGAGTAGCACCATAATCAGAGCGAACACCAAATCCCCGATCTCCCTCCAGCGATGAAGGAGAGAGGGGAGAGCGTCGAACATTTTTTTTAATTATCAGCAACATTCACATCTCCAACCGATGGGCTTAAGCCCAACCAAAATATAGTTCTTAGTGAACATACATATAATTTCCCTTTATATATATATATATATATATATATATATTAATATGGTGGGTAAAACTACAATGTCGATGGCTAGTGATTGACATGTGGTCACGAAGTTGATTTCGCACGATAATACCATCTTAAAAGGGTACATCTTGTCATAATATGTTTTTTTTTACAGATTCTTGCTTCAAAATTTGGAATTATTCGTGAAAATTTTCACGATTAGCAAGTACAAATTATCACAGTATACTACACCAAGACGAGTTTATATATTTATCATGACCTTTACAACTAAACACACTACAGGAAAATTCACCTTCAATCACGGGATTTCCCGTGACTGAACAGCCGATTCCATTGACGGAAAGATTTTGTCACGGTATATTCCTGTATCAAGCGTATCCGTGATCAAAGATCAACTGTCACTTGAAATCCCATGACAGTGAAAATACAATAACGGGAGATACCCCATGACAAAAGATCTATTTTGTCACGGTAATTCCCGTGATTTAAATTTAAACACCGGAAAATTACCGGGACTAAATTATAAAATAGCCACAGGATTACCCGTGACTAATTGGGTTATTTGACACTAGATTTCACTAGCATCCAGAGGAATGCTTTCTGTGGTTATGATGTCCTAATGAGCAATATTTTAATATTTAATATTAAGATCAAGGCCAATTCATTAAACAATAATAATGTTGTATATGAATGCATTTCCAATCACACTAGCACAGGACCCGGCCCGTTGGCCAGAAGAATTTTGTCGAGAAATATGATATATAATAATGAATATATAATAGAGGATTTGAAATGCACAAAATGATTGTTTTCTAACTTAGTTATCCACATAACTTTTTTGAAAGTGATCCAACTATGCATAATATGTCTAGACCTCCATGAAAAGAGAAAAATATAATATAAGCATTACTTATAATTATTGAATGAAAAAAGAAATAAATATAACTAATTATCATCCATTACTTAATTAAACCTTTAAGATGAAAGATAATGTCTCTCATAGAGTTTAGTATGTCCTTTAAGTTTTTCCCAATAGTGAGCATTCTTTTTTACCACACTATTGATAATGAATCTGAAGTTGCTTGATTTGAAATATATATAGGATAAGATGCTAAATTGTCGCTAATAGTTGGAGAATGTGTTGTGTATGGATTTCCAAAATTATTCTCAAATCGTAGACATGTTTAGCACCAATGTAGTAATTTTCATGCAGAAAATATTTTTTTCATGAAATAATTCAATAAATAAAAACCTATGAAAATCATATTACATGAAATATATAGTACTCATTAAGTTGATGAATGAGCAAGGGTATAAGTAACATAGATCTATTTTAAAAATATAGAAGTTGCAAAGTGTCTTTTGGGTTGAATAAGATCGCATATTCTCATTATCGCTAACTGACTTATGTTTTTTTGCAATAGATAGTTCAAAATGTGCCTTAAAACTTCTGTTTCCACCAGTGTAAAAGGATTGTTTGAACCAAATGATTACAATAGTATAAAAAAAAATTGACAGCAGAGTATTTTATACTGAATCATAATTTAACTGTGGTTCAACCGTTTCATATTGTTAAATATCACCTATCGATTTAGCCTATGGTGTGAAGTTTTATGGTCGAACCGCCAGTATGTACGATCTTTCAATTCAAACTTTAAATAAAAAAACCACTAAAATATTGGCATGATCAAATACCCTTAAATCTCATAAATTACCATAATCGTATTAAGGAAAAAATCATCCAAATGATAATACTGATTTAGGATTTTATGGGGTCATTTGGAAGTTGCGATTGTTAAATAGATATTGTGTTGTGAATGCATGTATAATATTATATATGTATTGTCGGATTAGATGTATTGTGTGTGTCACATAAGCTAAAAGTTTAGACAAAACAATTCCAACTAAACTATCTCAACAATAACAACTAAAATTTGAGATTTAACAATACTCATTTTGATTGATAGTTTCGGTCACATCACAGATGTAATCTATGTATTGGTTCTACTAAAAAATATAAAAAATGATGAATTCTAAGCAATACATGTATAGTAAATCTCAACAAAACAATCGCAACTTTCAAACGACCCCTTAATCGAAATGAAAAAAATCTATCGAATATAATGTCATCTCCTAAAATATATCAAAACTCAACAGGGCAAAGAACACCCACTAAGCAAAGCAGAAGGACAATTATTTCACACTACCTCATTTCCCCCCTCGTTTGAATATGTTCTCTCACTCTCTCTCATGCCTCGTTCACTTGCCATTTTGTTTTCTGTTTTTTGCTGTGACAACAAAAATAAAATAAAAACAAATTGTAAGAAATGTGTTCACTTGCAATTTCATTATCGTTGGAAAAAATCATGGGGAATAAAATAGGCAATTGGGCGGAAACAATAAAACATCCTTTGCTGGAAAATGAGAGACGAATTTCCTCCCGTTGCCCATTGGGTTATGACCTCATTCCTTTTAATGAGCTCAGCGTTCGAATCCCTTTGCCACATTTTTCTCTCCTTTTGTTCACTTAGACCAACGACGTCGTTTTGCTAACCCCAGCTCCCATCATTCTTCTCCCAGCCTCCCCCAAACTCGACCTCCCCATCGAACGAAGCTGCTACAGTTCGCCTCTTCTTTCTCTAGCGGAGAGAGAGAAGATCGATCCCACGAACTCCTTCTCTAGTCGACGAAGCTCCAGCGGCGAAGGACGGGTTTGCTTTGTGATGCCAGCAGGTATTACCCTTCCACCGCTAAGTTAATCATTCTCAAAGGCTTAGATCCTCGAGGTCATATCAACAGAGGTGTGGATTAGGATGGATGAGACAGTGATGGCTACACTTGCCCAGCGGGTCGTCGATAATCCTCTTTGTTTTTCCATCTCTCTCTCTCTCTCTCTCTCTCTCTCTCTCTCTCTCTCTTTGAGCTTTGTATCTCACCACTCTCCCCCTTTCCTTCCTCTTTCTTCCCACCGCCTGAAATTGAGAGAAACCTAGAAACATCCCAATTACTTATCCAATTTTGCATTCGAAATGCTTCTTCTCCATTCACAATCGATAGTGTGAATCAGAGGACCTGAAACCTGGCGACCAAATGGCCGCTTATTCCTCTCAAATGGCGCATTTCTCCATAAAACATGAGTGCACCAATATAGACTATGTGGTGTTCGCACTTGTGCGCGAGCGCTTGAAGTTTAAGTCAGGTGTGACCCATGAAACATTCATACTTGTATAGGGTCGATCCATATACATTGTCTTCATTGTATGCTCTAACTGTGTCATGCTAGCTCGATCATGTGTCTGCGTATAGTTACATGCATTCTAATAATTAAGTTTTTACCTATTCACAACACCAAGATAAAAACAATCATAAATGTTAAAATCACTCTCAGGCCACGAAATTTAAAAGAACACTCTCATTTTCCAATTTTATCATTATATTATGTATAGATTTGTCACAAAAAAATGTTATACTCGTTACAAAGGTCCATGTTTTGGTTACACTTCTGTAGTTTGTCTAAACTAAACTACACATACAATTTAATATTAATTTTTGAATCAATACTACTTGAGTTCCGATTTCAGAACTAATCTCATTCTATAAAATATAAATAACTTAAAGATAAAATATAAATATAGAAGCAACATCACCAAACATATTCCTAGAGTTTAATCAAAGAAATAACAATAGATATAATGTAGCCTAGTTGGTTATAATGCTCTTTCTTCATTTAATTGATCCAGGTTCGAACTCCAATGATAACATTTTTAATATATAAAGATAAAGTGGGTGCAATGACAAAAATGACCTTCCTACAATCACTCTCAGGCCACGAAATTTGAAATGAGAGAATTCCAACCCATGTTTTGCCTTTATATATCTTGTAGTGTTATGTTCAAGAACATAGAGCTTCGAGATATAATACTTAGTTATTTATATATCTTGTAGTGTTATGTTCAAGAACATAGAGCTTCGAGATATAATACTTAGTTGTAACTAGAAAGTATAAATGTAAGAACTTTTCAGAACCAAATCTTTTTGCAATCCATCCACGACTCTCTACACGCTGCAAAAAGTGTAACAAAACAAGGGAGAAATGGTAAGACATGGGTTGTCAATCAATTTGACTTGATAAGAATCATGAAATTTCATTTCAAAAACGTAAAGCTGCAAACAAAGTGTAGGTAAAATAACATTATCTGCAACTTACCATCATTAATCGAAGTTAACCTGCTTATAGGTTCATGTTCTGATAAAGAATTGCATCTGGTTGCTCTTACTGAGAGTAGCAGTGATTCACCTAATTAAAGAAGCAAATAAACTGAGAGTTAAAATGGTCATCATGGCAAGATCGACATCTGATGGACGATCGGTTCGTCCATCGCGTAATCGTACGAACTAAAACTAAAATAAACTGAAATACTGATTTATTCTTCTTTGATTGATTAAAACGTAGAGACAAAGTACATATTTATACGGAATAATCCTACAAACCTTTCCCTCCCAAACAAGGTAAACTAATCCTAGACCAACTCCTAAACAATAACTTCCTTAACAAGAAATAATAATACCAAATAACCAAAAGAATATCCTAAATTAACAATAACAATAATAATAATGAAAAATAGCTTAATGGCCTAGACGGCTGAAAACGTGTACTCATCAACATCACTTATCACCCCAATTCCTTGAAGAAACTCCCGCAACATGAACACCCAAAAAGGCTACAGAACAGCAACAAGCCTTGATTGACATATCCAAAACTAATCATTTCTTACTAGTTCACAGGAGTTACATGTGTCAAAGACGGAGTTGAACTGCTGGGGAGAGCATCGACTGCCACTTTCGCACAAACTGCTCTCACAGAATCACTTCAGAAGTAAGAGTTGTCTCCCTGAGTGAAAATATGGGGTGATGTAGTCGAATATGCAGATCTTGCATCCATAGAACCAAACACAGAGGAGCACCAAAAAAATAGTACGAAAGCAAGATAGAGATAGACACAAAACCAAACAGAAAAAATCACAACACAAAACCAAACCTGATGTCGGTAGATGGTATACTTTGAATCTTTCTGACACAGACAAAATCACAACATAAACCTAGAAAGCAGACAAAGGTCAAGCTTATTGGATGATTAGCAGAGCAAAAACCTTAACCGCCAATCTCGGCTGCATCTAAGCCCACTAATCGTAGACACTAACTAAGGATTCCAACAAACTAGAACAAGCTCTTAAACACATTAACTGTATTGACTTTTACCTGACAACCCAAAACCAGCAGCGCACATGACCGACGACAACAATGAGCTGCTGCTCCAAACCCGATCTTAAAATGAAAGGAAAATCTCCCAGGCATATAATCTTTGCAGGCTTGTTCCTTTCATGTACTTTGTTCGTTCCATGTAAACCATGGTTTTAAACCTGCTATTCCCCTCAAACTGATGAGAAGTAACTAATTGCTCAAACCTTCTACTCCAACAATAGTTCCTTGGAAGCTAGGAGAATCTAATAATGAAAAAAAGAAGAGAAACTTTTGCTTCTCACTCGCATACTTACTCGCTCTTGAGCTGTGGCATAAAACCTCTGTAGCAAGAAAGCCTTTGGGTCCATTAATCCAGAGAGTCTTCCAATTCCTAGGAACAGAGAGACCTTCACGCATCACAAATTTAGAGGGAATCACAAGATGCAAGGTATTAAGTGAATCTATTTACACTAACCAATTCTGAGCTGAGCAAATTCTTTGTTCCCTCGAAAGTAGATCACACTCTTCAAACTATAACAAAAGCGAATGGATAACAATCAAGCACAAGAGCGAATCGGACCATAATAGAACCCCAAATAGATAGATCTAATTGAAGCATAGACAGAGCTAGAAACCAAACCATAACAACAACCAAGGCAAGCTAAAGTGAGAACAAGAGAGGAAGCGAGAGGGAAGATGCGGGGATGGATAATGAGGGAGGAGGCAGAGCTGAAGTGAGGAAGATGAGGGGTCGGGGAGTCGATGATTGCATGGTCACCTTTGGTTTCCCGTTTCATGCCCGATTCTATGAAATCGAAAAGCGTTGTTGTAGAACTGGATTGAGAATCTTTCTCTCCTTCTTCCTGTTTCTTTTGCCAGACGACTTCTCCCTTCTTCTTCAGTCGTCTTCCATCAATAGCAGCAAACGAGATGCTTTCTGGGTTCTTCTCCTATCGAGTTCGGATAGGATTTTTTCTTTCTAATAAAAGCTCGATCGGATTTGGAGCGAGAGTATGGTCGGAACGGTGGGGAACAGAGGCAAACTTTGGTGGAATTGGAGGGAATGGTTTCGATTTACGGCAGATTGATGGGAGGCGAGGGATGGCGGAGGGTTGGCGGTGGAGGAAGACCATGAGGGAGCTTTGGGGAGACGAAAAGGTGAAGCTACTTTTCTGTATTGCATCTACAGGAAACGCCAATCCACATCATTCAGGTAAGAGTGTGCTCAAGCAAAAGCACTCCCACCAGCGCACGTACCTGCTTTGGGTAGCGCTTCCGGATTTGATTCTGGAAAAGTCTTCACCTCCAACATATCATGCACGGCCTTACAGCCTTCCACAGCCCCATCCTTCTTCTCTTACGTTCCAAGTAGGAGAGAATGTGGTTTCCTGGAAATCTGATTTTATTATTCCTTGCATTGGCCAGGTGAACGCAATGTCGCATGTGACGGATGATCAAATCGTTCAATTCTCAATGGAAGAAGTTCAATCGACCACTTTTAGGGCGTCTCGGTCCTTGCTCGGGCGGGTCTTCACAGACAGCAAACTCTCTACGGCCGAGCTTCGAGAGGCTGTTGATGTTGCGTGGCAATGCAAGGATCAAGTCAGGGTGTCGGAAGCTCGATTCGGCCTGTTCGAGTTTGCTCTCCCATGTGAGGCCTCAAAGATTTGGGTCCTGAAAAGGACACCATGGGTGGTGAAAGACAAAATCATTCACCTAACAACATGGACGCAGCACGTCACCAAACGGCTTGCGGATGACCTGTCAATAGTTCCATTCCGTGTCCAATTGTGGGACGTCCCGACTGACTGCTGCACCCATCAATTTGGGCGCAAAATGGACGATGCTAAGATCGGCAAAGTCCTGGAAGCTGGTGTGTTCGCCTGCCAAGACACTGATATTGGGTTTGTCAAGGTAAAGGCGTTAATTGACTTCACCAAACCTCTGCGATCGCGAATTATGGCGACGAGTGATGAAACGGATGCTTTTTGGGTGAATTTGAAGTACGAATACCTCCCAAGTTTTTGCTTCCAATGTGGGCGGGTTGGACACACAAACCGGTCCTGCAAATTCGATCCTCCCGCTAGGAAGGAGAACTACGGTCCTCACATGTGCACGAAGAAGGTGGGGATCAAAATTTTTGATGAGGTGGATGACAGGCCGTCGTTTCGAGGCCCTCCAAAGACGGTGTGGGTCAACAAGGCCCGGGCCAACGCGAAGCCCATGATCACTCTCCCAGCCCACCGAGAAAAGGCTACTGAGTCACACTTGGAGATTCCAAAGAGAGTCCGGTTGGAGGAGCCCATAAAACTGGCCCATCACTCGAATGCTGGGAGGAAGCCCGATCGCCATACGAAGAGCCCAAGGGGTTTTCCGGTCAGTCGTGCTCCAAAAATTGCTCAATTCCAGGGACAGCAGAGAACGGGTACTAATGCGCCAAGGGCCGCCTCGAGAGATGCTGCTTCTGATCGAAGGCGGGAGGAGATGGCGGCTGATCGTGATCAGTTAGTGACTGGCGCCCGCAAATCCTCTCGGCGCTCTGGTCATCAGTCCAAGAAACAGGTGCGGTATCCTCAAGAGCCCCGAAAATCAGTCCCGATGACGGTGGAAGATCGCCTGGCTCGGAATCCTGTTCGTCCGACGCGGCGCCGTCGGCTACTACTGCAAGAGGAGGAGGAAGACACCCAGATGCTGCCAATCCAGAAGCGTGCCCCAACTCGCCGGCTCTTACGTGGCACTCATAATGTTTCGGCCGCTGAGAAAGGGAAGGGCAAATTAATCGAGGTCCCTCTCCCAGCTCAGGATAATGACCATCGTGAAGCCAGACTGGCAGCTCCACGTCCCCAGCCCTCGGCGCAACAGCAATCTTCGCCTCGGCGATCGCCAGCTGGGATTGGTGCCCCTCCTGGATCCCAGCATGGGGGGCTGACACGATCACACATGATGCAGATTCTGGCGGAGGATTCAGAGGAGGAATGGATACCTGAATTCAAGAATGAGGAGGCGGCTGATGGGACCCAATCTAGCTGGTGAAAGACTCGCGGGTCAGGCCTGTTCAGACTCTGATGAGACATTGTCTGATCTTGGGGGTACTAGCCCAATCTCACCATCGAGAAATCATCCCTATGAGCTGCGCCGCCGGACGGGCCATGTTCGTGAGGTGGTGGCCATTTTTGAAAATGATGGCCTAGCCAAAGGGGAAGTCAATGATTTCCGCAAAGAGAAACCCAATCAATAAGGGACAAATTTGCCTCCTTGCTCCCCACGTGAGGATGAGGCCACCATGGTGATGAAGCTGAATGAATATGGTACCAATATGAATGGGGCTATGACAGGGGGAAGGAAGAGGGATCTAATGGACGCGATAGGGGCCCTGGATGAAAGCCACTCTCCAAAGCGTCAATTTGTGGAGGAAACAGCTGATGAAGAAGAAAAGGTGGAGGAAGCCAGCCTGGAGTGGCCCCAAGGGGATAAATGAGGCTATTGTCCTGGAATGTGCGGGGAATTGGACCATCCCTCACATTCCAAACTGTTGTAGGACTAATTCGGTCGAATAATCCAGAGGTCGTCTTCTTTTCGGAAACTCGATCCTCTCGGAAAGTTGTCTCCCGCCGTATGCGGGGTTTGGGTTTTGAGTCTTCTCGTTGTTTTTTTGTTGATGCGATTAATGCATCGGGTGGTCTTGTAGTAGGTTGGTCCCCCGGAGTTGCTACTTCGGTGTTGTTTCATTCGGAATTTTCCATTGTTCTTCAAATTAATGAGATGAACTTTTCTTATGTCGTGGTCTGCGTTTATATTAGTTGTTTGGAACCAATAAGAGTCTCCCAATTGGCTCAACTCCGTACCATCTGTGACGATATCCATTTACCCTTTGTGGTTATCGGCGACTTTAATGTGACTCTGAATGCAAGTGAGAAGGATGGGGGCAATCCGTGGTGTGCTAACCATTCTGTTGATCTCCGAAATTTTGTCCGTGACTTGGGTCTTCATGACCCTGGGTTCCAAGGGGACCCGTTCACTTGGACGAATCGTCGCATGGGTTCTGCTTGCATTCGGGAGAGACTGGACAGAGCTCTGTGTTCGCAGCCCTGGGTTGACCTCTTCCCCGATACTCTGGTAAAGCATTTTACAGACCAAGGTTCTGACCATCGTGCTTTGCTCCTATCGGATAAACCCTTTGTTCGGAATTGTAGACCTCTCTTTCGTTTTGATGCCCGCTGGGCTAAGAATCCGGAGGTCCGAGCTATGGTCTCTTATGTTTGGCAAGAGGAAATCCAGGGTAATCCCATGTACCAACTCTGGGAAAGATTGAAAAGGCTCCGCCACTTGCTCTATGATTGGAGTAGGGCTGGCACGACCAATTCACTGCGTAATATCAAAACGCTGCAGTTAGAACTTGACAGAGCCAAGGCAATCCAACCCATTAACTGGGATGAAGTGCGCGATTTGGAAATTGAACTGAACCGGCAATGGGAGGCGGAAGAGGAATATTGGCAGCAAAAGTCGAGGGTCCACTGGTTAAAAAAAGGGGATAGGAATACCTCTTACTTCCATACGGTGACACGAACGAGACGGAAACGTAACTTTGTCGTCGGACTTCGTAATAACCACGATGAATGGGTTACGGATGAGAGAGGGAAGGCCGATATAGCCACTGATTTCTATCGTCACCTCTTCACGTCTGATAACCACATTAGCGACATGGAAGCTAGGGTGGCAGACCTTCCAATTCCTCGTAAAGTGACTCCTGAAATGAATGCTGTTTTGACAGCAGATGTCCTCCCTAATGAGGTCCGCCAAACTGTGTTTGCTATGGGCTCTAAGCAAGCTCCAGGGTCTGATGGTTTTACTGGGAAATTTTTTAAGTCCTATTGGGATATAGTGGGCGACTCTGTCATTGCAGCTATTTGTTCATTTTTTAGGACTAATAAACTCCTTCGAAGTTTTAACCATACCTGGCTCACTTTGATCCCTAAAGTGGACAATGTTGAGAATATGACCCAACTCCGCCCAATAAGTCTGTGCCAGTTTGTGTATAAAATAATCACTAAACTTATGTCGGAGAGGTTAGCTTGCTTTCTGCCTCAGATCATCTCCGAGGGGCAAAATGCTTTCATCAGGGAAAGACAGATTGTGGAAAACATTCTGCTAGGGAATGAACTAATGCACTATCTTAAAATCAAAAACCGTGGTAAGAAGGGATACATGGCTCTAAAGGTTGACATGGAAAAGGCCTATGACAGAGTCGAATGGTCCTTTCTTATGGCGGTTTTGGAAAAGTTAGGCTTTAGTGCTACCTGGCGACGGTGGGTCCATGAATGTCTTACTTCCACCTCTTTCTCAGTCCTCATGAATGGCACGCCCTCTGGTTACTTCTCCCCCTCTAGGGGACTTCGTCAAGGAGATCTGTTGTCCTCGCTCCTGTTTGTTATTTGCACGGAAGGGTTTGCGGCGCTTCTGCGAAGAGCGATTGATGAGGATAAGTTAAGGAGTGAAGGTCGCTCCCCGAGCCCCCAGGATCTCCCATCTTTTCTTTGCGGATGATTCCTATCTTTTCCTCCGTGGCTCTCTCCAGGAATGTGAGAACCTCATTGAGGTGCTTAATGAGTATGAGGAATTAAGTGGCCAAAGGGTTAATCTGGCCAAGTCGGCAGTATGCTTCAGCAAGAATGTTTCCCCGGCGGACCAGGAATTTCTGGCCCAGGTCTTGGGTGTAGGCGCTGTGGGGGTGCACGACAAATATCTTGGGCTTCCTTCTCTAATTGCTCAGTCTAAAATGGCTACATTCCGTTTTCTGGAGGCCAAACTACTAGAGCGCTTACAAGGTTGGAAGCAAAGGACGCTCTCTTGGGCTGCTAAAGAGACATTGATAAAATCCATAGCCTTGGCCCTCCCTTTACATGTGATGTCATGCTTCAAGCTTCCCCTATCGCTTTGTCGCCTCCTTGATCGTCATGTGGCTAGATTCTGGTGGGGGGAGACAGAAGGGAACCCTCGAGTTCGATGGATTTCCTGGCGTAATATGTGCCGCAGTAAACATGATGGCGGAATGGGTTTCCGTCGCTTTGAGCATTTTAATCAAGCCCTTCTCGCTAAGATTGGGTGGAATATCTTGACGGATCCCCATTCACTGTTGGCTAAAGTGTATAAAGGGAAATATTTCCCCTTGGGGGAGTTTCTAACCGCGACTGCTCGCTCTCGCCCATCTTGGGGGTGGCAAAGTATCCTTTATGGTCGTCAGCTGTTGGTTAAGGGGCTACGGTGGCAGATTGGGAATGGGCAGCTGGCTCCCATGTTAAGTTCTAGCTGGGTCCCTGCGTTACACCCACAACCCCCAATCCCCAACCCAATCGTGCTACCAGGGGAAAGTGATCCTAAGGTTGAGGAAGTTCTGGCTCTCGGGGGCGGTCGATGGTGTGATGCCAAATTATCTCGTTGGTTTGATCCTTCCACTTGTAGGGCAATCAAAGCCATCCCTCTACCCCGGCAAGATATTTCAGATAAGCTGGTTTGGCATGGTACCAGTGATGGGGTGTTCACTGTCAAATCGGCCTATCACCTCGCTGTTGCTCTAGATAAGCACAAGGGGCATTGGCGAGCCTCGGTGAGTTGGATGGACCGCCCTAGCTGGATTCATTTATGGGATGCTAATATCCAACCTAAGCTGAAAGTTTTCTTGTGGCAAATCTTCCAACGTATCCTCCCAACGACAGAAGTTCTGATTGAAAGGAAGATTCAGGTGCTTCCCAGATGTCCAGTCTGCTGGGCTGACACAGAAACAATGGAACATTTGTTTTTGGAGTGTCCGGTCTCGAAGGCATTATGGGATCACACTGGGCTTGCCTATCTTGGTCAGGGGCTGCCTAAGCATACGTTCCCTCTCTTCCTGAAAAAGTTGATGGGTTTGATCCATCAACAGGATCTGTTCATCGCGGTGGTGGCGGTGCTGTGGAGGATTTGGCGGTCAAGAAATTGGGTTGTCTTTGAGGGTAAACAATTTGGAATCCCGGCCCTCCTGCGGCAGTTTCATCAGCAATACCAGGAATGGGTTAATCTATCACCGACAGGGGTGCCTAGGCTTTCCACTCCTCTGACTAAGCCCATTGTAGGGGGTCATCCCTCTGGGGTGGTGTGTCAGTGGGATGGGGCTACTAGGCGAGGCTCGCATTCAGCTGGTAGTATGATTATCAGGGATCCGGGAGGACAGGTGCTGTTGGTTCAGGGGGTTCAGTTTGATGGAGTGGATGATCCCATAGTCATCGAATCGCTGGTGCTGAGGGAGGCGATTATCTAGTGTTTATCTCTTGGGTTCTCGGTGGTTTGCTTTGAAGGAGATGCCAAGGTGGTTATCGATAAGATCAATCAAGCAAGCACTCGGGATAATCAGATTGGAGCCATTCTGGAAGAGATCGTGGGGTTTTTTGCGCTGCATTCAGGGCTTAGTGTGCGATTTGTAGGCCGGAGTAGTAATAGGGTAGCCCATTTGGTGGCTAGAAGGGCCCTTTCTTTGTACCCGGCCTCATGTCGCAATTTTGATTTCGCTGGCTGGTTAAACTCCAGGATGTAATGATCTTTGTTCAATCTATATATGATTATCTTTTGTCAAAAAAAAAAAAATTGGTAAAGTTGAGTTAAAAGAAGAGGGAAACTGTACCAGGTAGGGCGCCTTTTAGCGTCCCATTTTTTTACCAAAAAAAAGAAGAGGGAAAATAATAATAAATATAATGAGGGCGGGCAAACTTAGTTTTAACTCTCGCCTAGTTGCCTATCATGTTTTCACTCCAGCAACCAACCGTCACGGGATAGCTACCCACATTGTTGTTATCAAGCACAAGTCACAGGAATTTCCTTCCCATGACAAATAGTTTACTTTTGATAATGGGAGTGTACTCGTAGCAAAAAATTTCCATGACTGAAGGTGCATTTTCTTGTAGTGACACGAATTTGCTATTACAATAATATTATCGTGACTAAACCATTAAAACATGGGAAACACAATCTCAAACACAGAATCTCTTACTATTGAACAACTTGAGAGTTGAGAGGATATTTCATGACTAAAATAAGGTGCTTATTCAAATGACTAAATGCCTCTTAAGGAAGGTGGAGGTCAATGGTTGGTTTGGTTTGAAAGTTACGTTTTTTTATACTATAAGAGACGAGTTTATTTTGATTCGAGTTTAATTCGAGTGATTCAGCAATTTAATAGACAAATTTAGCATCTGTCTGACATGTCATAAAAAAAGTAACGGTGTTAACGGAATCTGACAAAATTAATGATGATGAAACATGAAATGATAATTTAATCAATTAAATTTTGGGCAAATACCACTACAACATCCGAACTATCAAACAAATGCCACTTGTGTCATATTGTATCAAATATTCCATTCATGTCCTCAACTATGATACTTTGTGTCATTCGTATCCTGTCAATTTCGTTGACTGTTAAAGATAAAGGTTGACCAAACGGTGTTTAATGCGAAGTTGACGTTTGTCGGCGTGACAAAAAATGTGACAGCCACATAGATGCCACGTCATTGACACCTCATACTTTACATTCAAAATTAAATAAAAAATATTATTAAAAAACTCAAAAAATGTAAACTCAACATTAATGAAAAATTTGACTTTGCACTTTCCCTTTCTTCTTCTTCCTCTGCCATCTCCTTCTTCTCTTGGCCTTCCCTCGCCATCCCCCAGTTCGACGAAATCTCCGGCATAGAATCGAATCCAATAAGCAAAGCAAGCGACAGAAAGGAAAATGAATGACAAAAAATTTGGAAATTGAGTTCCTTTTTGTCGATCTACGACATCAATCGAATCCAATAGATGTTCCAATCATCATAAACGAAGCTGGGGCTGGGATGTGTAGTAGATTTGGATTCTGGATGACGAACGACGACACCGACCCTTCGTTTCCTCCTGACGCAAGAGGGTCGAGAAGTAGATCGTGGCGACTCCGATCTTTTGCTCTGGTTCAGATATAGAACGGGTTGTGGCAATGGTGACGGTGATGCAACAAGGTGGTCTCTAGCAGTCACGGTCACGACAATGCAGAGAGACCAATTTCAAGAAACTTAGCAGATCCACAAAACTTTCAGTTCACCCATTCTTAATTTCGTCGCCGCTCTGAACAGGGTAATGAGTTTCACCGATGATGGCGACATGATGGAGGAGGGTTTCACCAGCGATGTTGAAGATCTGACAGCGACGGAGTGGCGACGAAATTTGGTATCACCGCTAGCATCGACAAACATGAGATATGAATGGCCATTGTGATGAAAATGTATGCGACCATAAGGGTTGAAGTTGAGTGAGGAGAGGGCAGGGTCGACGGCCGCGGAGTGGGAGGGTTGTGGTGGTGGAGGATTGGGTCAGGTAAGAAGAAGGGGCAGAGCAGGCTCGGGAGGGGGATTGGGTAGATGAGATTGTGAATTTTTTTTTTGCTTTTTGTTTTTGTAATTGTTATTTAATTATTTAAAAATAACACGTCAGATGTCACGTCAACGGTGACTGGATTTCTGTTAAATACTAACAGTCAACGCCGGTCAACAATAACGAAATAATAGTTCAGGACAGAAATAGAATATTGAAAAGAATAGTACACAAGTAGCATTTTTGTCATAATTCTAATGTTGTAGTGGTATTAGCCCTTCAATTTTTTAGAGATAACATGGAGATGAGAATATTCAACATACCAACAAACAATATTTACAAACATGGAATAAATCCGTTATAAAAAAAAAACATGGAATAAATCCAGTGACTTGAGCCTTTGGTTTTGCATAGTGTTTTCATCACCCTCATGGTTAAGAGTCTGGGGTCCCGGCCCAGAGCTATTGGTCCTTTCCATGCTCCATTGGAAACCTTCTGAAGTCTGAACTGGTAACCTCTGGCCCAATAACTTCTCTTTCTGGGCTCGTAGCATTCCATCTTCTTGGGCTTCAACAGTAATCTCTCGACTCTCATTTACCCTAATTTCCTCCACATTCCTTCTCAAACTCCCACCGTCCCACGCCACACTTGATTCTTCCGCTATAAATTCCCCAACTCGCGAAACCCTAATTACAATAGCGGAAGCAGCATCGTCAGACGTCAATTCATCTCTTGCTCGCTCATATACTCTTCTCTATCCTCTGTTTTATTAAGTTGATCCGATTTTGTGTGTTTTTCTTCTGTTTGAATCGCTTCTATAGGCGTTGCGTTCCTCGATTGGCCAATTCTAAATCCCAAGTTGGAACGTGTCAACGGAAGCGTAGATTTACTTGCAATCTCCAATTTTCGATTCTTCGATCTGCGCCCCTTTGTTTTCAATCAGGGCGTAGACTTCATTGGATTGCTGATATCTCCCTTGCAATGCGTTTTTGTTCATTCGTAAGTTTTGTTTTTATTTTCTGGGTTGCTTCTTTTGGTGAACCTCTCCAATTCTAAAATGGAGATGTTCTAGTTTCCGAAGCATAGATTGAATGCTTGTTCATGCCAGTATTAAACAACGCAGCGCTTTGATTTTCTCTAAATCTCTACTGCTCTGCGTTACCTGTCTCCTGGTACACTTCCACTCATTCAGTCTTTTAACTCTTTCCGGTTTGAATTTTTTTCCTGGATCTGGTATTTGACCAAAATTTGCAGCTTTGATCTTGTTATTGCTCATTGATTCATGGTTCTTTTACCAAGCAATAAACAAAACAGGGGAAAATGTTCTGATTTGTCATGTACTTTGTGATGTTATTTGATCTGCGATTGACGGAAAGTTTGCAGCTTTGGAACTCAATGTAGATTAGGGGATGTTAATGGAGATGTATAACAAATACAGTATACTCTGATGAAGAACGGAACAAGTGAAATTGCTCGGCTATTCATGCTTCTTTTACCAAGCAACAGACAAAACAGGGGAAAATGCTTTGCTTTTCATGTACTTTGTGATGTTTATTTGATCTGGGATCGACGTAAAGTTTGCAGCTTTGGAACTCTATTCAGATTAGGAGCCGAGAAAACTGTTAATGGTGAATCCATAACAAACAAAGTATACTCTGATTAAAATCGGAATGACGGATAATGAATACAGCTGAGGAACCAATAACCCAATTCTGCAAAGGGAAACAGTAAAATAGTACAAACCACACACTAGCAGTGAAAAATGAATACTTTGAGGCACCAGGAAGTCAGAAACCCATTATAGAAATTGGACTTAGCTTCAAACGTGACAGGAAAAAGATACTGTCAAACTGATTTTGCTCAATCAGTGCAGCAACGGTACATGATGAACTTCTCCATGGGACGGCCACACTCAGCACAGACAACCCTATCAGGGATACTCCCAGTGCTTCCAGGCAGGATCAAACGGTTGCAATGGTGTGGAGTATGCAAGCCAAGCAGGTAATCATTCAGCGCGGGAACAAACCCTTTCTCCTGAGCAAGTTCCTTCCACTCGTCAAATTCCATGAAGCTCTTCAGTATGGTCTCCCCCTTCGCCTTGGTCATCTCTGCCGATGCCCTGCTAACCACGGCCCACCCTTGCTCGCTGCCGTCGAAGCTCAGCATCGTCACGATCTCCTGCATGATTGCGTCGTTCTCCACGGTCCTGTTGTGCTGGACCTTGGAGTGCCACATGCTCTCGAGCCTCACCCAGAAGAACCAGATGAGGGTGAGGTCCGGGAGCACGTGGCTCAGGCTCTCGGATTGTACCATGACGTTGTTCTTCCTCACTTTCTCTTTCGGGCTGCTCTTCCCGACGTACAGCATTTCCATGGTGATTCCTGCTGCTCGAGCCACTGCTTGCGCTGTTGTGGTGAACTTCCTGATCCAGTCCATGTCCTCACCTCCATACAAGCAAATGAATTTCCCCTGAGCTATCTGTAGTACAGAAAAGCCAATGACTCATGATTCACGCGACTTATGACTGCGAACAACCATCTCAAGTTTTCTGAATTGAAATGGATGGAAATGAGATTGATTGCATACCCAAGAGAGGATGACAGGATCAATAGCATCGGCGAGAAGCTCGAGCCTCCAGGACTCTTCCTTCCACAGAGCTTCCTCTCTAGCACTAGTGAAAGGGAAAGCCAAGCTACCCCAAATCCACATCATGTGGAGGGCATTTGGGTTCACAACTTTCCCCTGAGGGTCCAACACCACCAACAATGGCTTCTTGTTGAAGTGCCAGACTTCTTTCGTGTACCTGATTACTGCGAGATCGATCAACGAAGGGTGGTAGACGGAGTACCACGGCATCATCCCCTGAAGCCGCTCGAATGCCTTCTGCTTCTCCTCGTTCCAAGGCGTCGAACGGTCCACAACCGGCATCCACACCACCTCGTACTGGCTCTCCAGCCTCGTGGGATGCTGGCGCGCCTCGTGGTACATCTGCTCGAGCATGGAGAGTTCTTCGTGGGAGAGTTCGAGGTCGGAGATGAGGAGAAGGACGTTTTTCCTTCTCAGCACGTCCAGGCTTGCTCTTCTCTTGGTGTTGCCGTCGAAGAGTGGGAGCTGGTCGTCCTTGGCATAGATCAGCGCCCTAAGGATCTTCATGTTGTCGATGTGTACGATCTCGAAAAGCCGGATTAAGGCTTGGTATGCCTCGATGTGCCTCTTCTCGTCTGCATCGACATAACAAGGGTAATCGAACGATCAATATTCCTAGTGAAAACTATTGATCTCTTAGTCTATAACAGAATCGAATCGTGTTCGAGTAAGCAAATCAACGAACCAATATGTTGGTAACAAACAGTGAGCTGCTTCATGAGATGGCTGTGGATGTTGGTGACCTTATGAGCCATGCTAGACAACTCCCATGCCTCCGTCGTCGAAGCAATGTACCTAATTAAAGAACAAACGAACACTTTGAGATACCATTTTCTAAAGTTAAAATGTGGTATTGTTAGACACCATTATAAACTTACTCATGCCCCATGCCAATGAGGCCAATGATCTGTGTTGCACAAGCCACGATGCTTCGAATAGTCCAGTACACGGCCGTGGGGATGTGAGCAGTCGCAGTCAGCAGCTCGGGCGTGTCGTGGCTAATGTACTGCGATGGAAGCTCCTTGAACTCCACAATGCACTTGGCCACCTCCATCATGGCCCTGATCAAGTTGCTCAGGGCCTCGAACCTCGTCTTCAAGGCGTCGGCACGTTCGAGGATGTCGGGCAGTTGCTTGAGCAGTGCCACGGCTTTGGCCAGTGGGTTGGTGAGGTACAGCTGGGACACGAGCCAGAACTCGCCGTAGTTCACTGCAAATGCGGCCAGGGCTAGCACGACTTTCGCATCCCACGAGTAGCTCGAGACTATGTTGAAGATGGACATGGTCGTGGCATGTGCATCTCCTCCTCCAGAGCACTTGCAGGAGATCTGATTTCGTTATTCATCCCAAAATTTCTTTGTATAATTAGCCCATTTACAAAATGCTAACATGATCAAGTTAAAGGATATGTGATCAATTGTGTTAGGAGGATCCAATCGATCATTATTTCGGGGTAAGGTGTCCTGTTAATTTGAACATTTTAAGCTAATAATTCTAACTAGGATAAATTGGATGACTACTTTGCTAATTAGTCCAGAGTTTGATGCAGTTATATTAGAAAGTCGAATTTAGTGACCAGTTTGTTTTGTTACTATTCATGTAATTTAGCAAATGAAAAATGCCATGGATTTCTTGCGAAGGAAGTCAAATATCAACCGTCTCACGAACCTCACAGGCTATCTTGTTGATGGTGAAGGACAGAATTTCAAGGGTTTCATGGAGCCCGTTCTCCAGAACCTTGTCTTCCAAGGCATCTAGTTGTGCCTGCTGAGCTCCCTACAAAGAAATCAGGAAATTAAGTCAGCAACAGTACTACACTAACTTGGGTACCAAGCAAAATAAAAACAGAATGATCATGGAATCGAACACATTGCGAAAATGGCTCTTAAATCCGTACCGTAGGCTCACCACCAATGGCGAGCACACCAGGACGCGACCTCTGAAACACATCTTCAGCAATGTGAAGCAGAGGCTTGACAGCGAATTCCCGGCCATCTGGGGAATGAGTCGCCTGAATCTGCTTCATCATTGCACCATCGTCGGATGATGCAAACATATGCCTCTCACCCCTGCTCATCTTGTGTGGGACGACAGCCATTGCGCTTGGTCGGTATCGAGAAACTAGCTCACCGAATTCGGAGAAGTTAAGTTGCTTTTGTGGGTTTTAGCTGTGGTGGGATTTGGTTCTCAATGTTTAGAGCCTTATATATAGTTGCTGTTGATCAATGGGGAGAGTTAAATATTTGATCTTTTGGTATACCTTGCTTCTGTTGGAGGGTTTTAAGGGTGTAAAGTTTGGCTAAGGAAAGACTTATCCGTTTAGAGAATACAGTGTGTCATTAACCCTTTTGATTTGAGATGCTTTTGTTAACTGTGTGAAACATGTTGGCTTTTGATGTGCTAATCATCTTCAGCCAATTTACTTAGAACTCAAGTGACCTAGGAATCCCAACCCCCTTTGGAAAAATTTGATCTTCTTTATATAGCTGAAACTTCTTCACATTATGCAGCTCAATGCACTGTAAGTTTGATGGTAATTAAAGTAGCGTCGGCGAATCCAGATTTGAGTAGGGTGTGACGAATCTGGATTCGTTCTTGAGGATTTGAAAATTTCGACATGAATTGAATGGAAAATTGATACTGTCAACTCGACTCGAGTTGGGTGAGACGAATATCTTACCAGCTGATCCGCATGCTTGACGATGGTGCAATTATAAGGTCGAAGCAAATCGAAATGATAGTCACCTGTTCCGACCCATAACCTTAAACTCTTATCCTAATCTAAAGGTTAGATCTAGGTTATATTGTGACATATGTTTGCTTGCATCATTAAAGTGAAAAGCTGAGAAGGGTAATCATTTGATTTCTCAACTTTACAAGCTTCCTTGCTTAGTTGCAAGGTATGATATTTTGTTCCTTTATATCAAGCTTCCAATGTGTTTTACATTGTTCTTGGGAAGTGCTTTAACAAGTTGCAAATCTTTGAGCCCTTTGGAGGGCCCCATCCATGCCCAAAAGATGGAACTTGAAGGAGCCAAGACATGAAGCCAAGCAACTCAAAACAGGAAAAAGCCCACTATTCTTTTGAGATACCAACAGCTAGGCAACAGAAAAAGAAAGCCATGGGAATAAGGCACAAAGCTGCTTCACAGGCCAAAAGCAAAAATCTTCAAAATAGTGTAGTTTGCAAGATTTTTTAGTAATGAGTGTCCATAGCTCAAACTGAATGCAATTTCAGGTAAATAGTTAATTCAGATAGTAAAGAGGTAACAAATAAATCCTTGTGTAACAATGATTCCGCAGAAGGCAAAAATAAAAATGCAGAAGCAAACTGATCCAGAGTTTGCACATTCTGGGATGTTACATTACTCATTTATAGACAACATATGGCTTCATCACACGCCTACACTTCTCGCATAACATATTGCCTTTCGGTTGTTGTTGTTGGCCTTTGCCATAAGGGATCATGACAGAATGACTGCAAGGTTCTGCAGGATGCAGAATAAGAAGAGGTTTTGGGACTTGAACAGAAGCTCTAATTGCCCCTAAAAATCCTTTCTTCCCCACATTTTCTCCCCATTCATGAACCTTGCTCAGCAATTCAATCGCTTTTCTCCCTTCGAGCCTCACAATCTCTTCTGCAGTTCCTCTTCCTATAGCGATCCATCCTCCCTTGTCGTTGCCATCATCATGATGCTGCAGCAGTGCTGACACATCTTGCAGAATGTGATCAGTTCTCAACCTCCCACCTTGCTGAAGCTTTGATCTTCTCAAGCTCTCGATCCGGAGCCAAAAGAATCGGACTTTTGTGGATGACAACAAGTTTCTATGGATTGTTTGGTGGATGATGTCTGATGTCTTCCCCACATTTTCACTAATAAGGTTACTGCTTCCAACATATACCATCTCAAGCTGAATTCCACAACTCATGATTTCTCTAGCTTTGGTGTTCAGCTCATTAATCCAATCCAGGTTCTCACTTCCGTAGATGCAAATGTTTCTTCCTTCTTCCACCTGAAAGTAGTAGAATGTAGTCAAACTATGCCTCTAAAACATTGTGTTCCTACTCCTCCACTCGAGAATTTTAACTAACATTAACCATATTTACTGAAAAAGAAAAACCAGATATGGCTGAAAAGCTTACCCATTTAGCTAGCAAAGGGTCAATTTCATCAACCAGGAGTTGAAGTGTCAAATGCTTCTGCTCAGCCAAGAGCTCCTGTTCTCTCACAGCTGAGAAAGGGAATGCATTGGCTCCCCAGATCAGAACCATATCCATAGCGTTCAAATTGGTCATGGCGCCTTTCGAATCGAGTACCACCATTGCTGGGTCAGCTCTAGACTGCCATGCTAGCCTGATGAAGTTCACTACAGATGAATGGAGTTCCCATGGTCTGTTCAGTGAGTACCATGGCAATGAATTTGACAGTATGCTGAATCTCTCCCTTTCAGTTTCAGTCCAGTGATCAGATTCTGTGACCGGAACCCATACTACACGGTACTTTGCCTCAAATTCCTTGTGGTGAGGGTGGCCATAGGTCTGGTGAACAAGGAGAAGTAGTTCATCTAGTGGCAACAGTTGTGGCTTTGAGATCAGAAGTATGACCACTTTGTCTTTCAATTCAGTCACACCTAACTGTAAGAAAAAAGCAGCACAGGAAATGCAGCAAAAAAATCTTGAGACCTTTATTCTTATGAGCATTTGAGTTTATATATATGGTTTCACCTTTGATTTTGTCGAAGGTTCCTTGAGCGACAGGTTATCTTTGAGAGCCAAGAACATCTCAAGTACATCTTGATTGTCATGGTGCTCCTCCCAGAAAAGAGTTGGCAACTTCTGGTTCATCTTTAATTCTGCCAAATGTGGTCAGATTAGAAAGCTCAAACCGAGTTATGATCTTTCTAACATGATTCTTAATCCGGAATGAGTTTTAAACCTATTCGTCGATGACACAAATGCACTGGCCCACTGAGGTGATGCAAGATTCTGCTCAGCCTTGATTCCATGCTCAACATCTCCCATGCTGCAACTGCAGTTGCATTCGAGTACCTGAACAGTTTAAAAAATACATTAGCAAGTTATCAAGCAAATCTCAAGTGTCTGGTTCAGTAACCAGTTTTAGGGAAGAGAAAACATGCACTTTCTCAGGCTTCATGGCAGTGAGATCAGCAACAAGTGAGAAACAAGACAAACTGCTTCTAACAACCCAGTAAGCAGCTACATAGATGGAAAGCTTTGTAGTTCCGATGGGTTCAACATCCAGCTTCACATGTCTAAGGGGAAGGCCTTCAAACTTGATGATGCACTTTGTCACATCCACCATTGTCTTGAACAGCAAGTTCAAAGCCTTGAACCGAGGTCTCAGCATGATCAGCTCCCGAGGCAACTGTTTAACCATAGCGATCGATGATGCCAAGGGGATATCGTGGTGAAGCTGGTTTATGAGCCAGAACTGGCCATAGCTTGCTGCAAATGATGCAAGCACTAGTGCCACTTTGGCATCCCATCTGTAGCTTCCAAGCAAATCAAACAAGGCCATCGTTCGACAATGCTGGTTCCCTTTACCGACGAATACCTTGCATAATGATGAGAAGGATTTGTCAGAATGTTGATCTAATCATGAAAAGAACAAAACTTGGCTTCTTGGTTCTTGCCTCACTTGAGATCTTCCAAAGTATTTGCCCCAATGTCTCTTCTGATCCAGCTATTGCAATGCTGTCTTCATCCTTCCACTCAACAGCTTCTTCAACATTTGACCTATGAGAGGCAGAAGATGACATGACATTCTCCATTGCAGAGATCAGGAGCTCAGAGTCTAGCCAACGGCCATCAGGATCATGTGCTAGGAGGAGCTGCTTTATCAGAAAGTCCTCTTCGGATGAAGGAAAAGAATTAGCAGTAGCAGAAGAAGAAGAAGGGGCACTATTTCCATGCCAATTCATTGCTTGGCAAAAGGGAAATGCCACGAAATTTCAGATGATTATGCTAAAGGTGCAACATTTATGGGAATGGGATTGTGAAACACTGAGGGTGGAAGCTAATGAAACTGTTGTGCAGGTGAAAGTGATTGCCTGCTTCTTTCTCATCACAGTACTGTTTTGGACAAGGGTGTTGAAGGTGGGATCTTGATCTTGTTTTCTTCTTGTTACTTGCTAACCACTGAAAGAATAAGAGGGTTCTTGTTTTTCTTTTTTCAACCTTTTTACTGTGACAATTGGAATCAAATCCTAGTCTAGGCTTTTGGAACACTGCAATCCAGAAGTAGTAAAGGAAGCTAACTTGTTGCAGATGGTAGTTCTTAGGTAAACACTGTAGGATATTCCTCCATTTCTGCTTTCTGGTTGAGTGGTTTGGAATATAATAAACATTTTGGGAAAGGAAAAGAAAAGTTAGTTAAGGTTCACCAAAGGAATAAGACAGGGTTTGAAGCTTTAAAGGCTTTATTGGACAATTACATTAATAATCCTTTTATTTCGGGGTCATTAACAAATTGATCACTCAACTCTTCTGGTTGTTGAGCAGGAATCCTGAAATGGAAAGGATTGCTGTTGACGAGATCAGTAGGGTTGTTGGTAATCGATGGAAGGGTGAACTGAAAACCATGATGGTTGTTTAAGAGATGAAGAATTTGGAAGGAGATGGTTTATTTAGAACAGTAGCTGCTATGATTCCTTGGGAGATATGTTCAGGCCAGTTACAATTTACAACCCTCTTCAACCTGCCACAAAAGAATCTGAGAGAAAGAGATTTTTACAACCCAATGCCTTAACCTTTCTCATATAATTCTTGACACTACTTGCACAAACATTCTCCCAATGTGGAACAGACCCAATTCCAAGAACTTCCATATCAAATCCCTTACTAAGAACAAGAAAGATTCTCCTCCTCTCGATCCAGTTGTTGGAGCTCTGGTGCTGTTCACCAACTTGAACCACTGGCTCTCTGGCTCACAGCTCTTATCCTTGCTCAAACACTTGCAAGGATTCGCGACGATCTCGCCCTCCGAATCCACATCCATACAAACCGAGGTCCCATCTTTCAGTTTCGACGAAACGTGCATCTTCGAATCGGATATCATCTGCCAGTTTGAACAGTCGAGATCGAGCTGCACTGCTTTCCCCAATTGATCAGCCTTTAAGCAGAAGTATGTCCCAACTTGGGACAGAGTTCCCCTGGAGTAGCTCCATGGATCAGACTCAGGGCAAGGTCCCAACTTCAATGGGTCCATAAATGTCCTTCCCCTCTGCACACATTTCCCTGTAGATGGATGGAAGATCACTTGATGCTGCCTCCTTTCCACCAAACCTGGCCCTGCAGATATCAAACCATGTCAAATCAGACGTCACAACAAATTGAAAAATCAACAGATTGACGTGGGCCACTAACAGCTAATTCGCAGGCAGAAGAGACCAGCTTCATTATATTATTTATATATGGTTACCTCGAAAGGGCATCTGAACCGCGGAGATCCTCTCGATGAAACTCCGATTCCTCGGTTCGACCCAATCCTGACCCAGCAACCCATAACTCTCACTCCACCCAGCAACCCCTTGCCTCAGATAATAACTCCCCACAATCGTCCAATACGCCCAATCCAAATCAAACTCAGCTACATACCCCAAAAAGCAATTAACGTACCGATTGTCATTCAAATTCCCACCACCTTGATCAATCCCAAACTCACTAAAATACAGAGGATACCCTGCCTCCAGCAAGAACCCTGACATCCTCTTCATGTTACCACTCACTCTGCCACACACTTCATTCGCATTTCCATCAGCCCACGCCTGCCCGTCAGTGAAACCATACCAATGCGCCTCGAAAACCAGCTTCTTTCCGAACGACAGCTTCACCATCCGGCTGCTGAGGAACGACAGGTCCTTGTCGTAGTTCAGGCCCGAGACGACGACGAGGACGTTGGGGTTAGCGGCGTGGACGGCTTCGGCTCCCTGCTGCATGTACTTGTACCAGTCTTGGGTATTCTGTTTCGGGCCGCGGAGCTCGTTCCTGAGGCTCATACCGACCACTGCGGTCGAGCCGTTGAACAGTGTGGCCATTCGGGTTAGACCGGTGAGCCAGAGGTTCGGGTCGAAGTATCGGTCGTTGAAGAAGCCGTTGCCGTCGTCGTTGCTGCAGCACCAGCCCGGTGTGGTGATGTGGTTGTCGAGGATCACCATGATGTTGTTTTCGCCGAGGGTTGAGACCACTTGCTGAAAATTACAGAGTTGATAGATAGGTTGGTTCAACTGATATGATGTTTACCAAACTACCGGTCAATTAAAGAAGAAAAAGGACTTCTTTCTAAAATTGAAACCAAACAACAAAACTGATATCATTACAATTTGCATATTGCCATCAAGTTTTTAGTTTAAGCCAAACATTTCTACCTGATCATTGCTATAAATGTCTAATGGTATATAATCAATTACAAGAGCATATTTCGAACGTTATCGTTACTAGAAAACCAGTTTGCTTCCATGTTTCGTGAATCGATCATTGGGATTTGAATTGAACAATGCAACAATTATTTTCCATATGATTCATTTGTCTCTTATATATTTCGGGGTTTTTTTTTTGTCAAAGCTTATACCGATTAGCATGTAACTCATAGCAAATTTGAATTGGGTTGAGTTTAGGGTTTGGTTTAGATTTTCATGAACCTCTAAAGCTAATTTAAAGGGCGAATGTGATTTCTTTTGTTACTAAAATGTTGTGTTCCTGCTCAACAAAAATTAATCAAGTGACTATTACGATTAATTTACTTCGAAGTTTACGACAATTATGTTAAAATTCCTAGTTCACTAACCCGTCTGCTTACGACAAAACGAATCGAGTGGTTGTTTTCTAATTAACCACCTAATTACTCTCCTAGTAAATGAGTTAAAAAGAAAAAGTACACATTTCTACCTTATAGATAGCTTCTTATTGTTGGAAGTTGGAACTACTTTACAATTGGGCAAGACACAATAGTAACTTTTTCGGTCAAACAGTTAAACTTAAAGGTGAACAGTAAATAAATAGTTAACTTTTTAGTTTGTTTACCTGGAAAGCCTGGAGAAGGGGAAGGTCAACGATGTCAGGATTATTGGCCTGAATCCCGGCGGCGGTATCGATCAGCCCAAGCCGCTGGAAAGACTGCCGGACGGTGAGCGAACTCAAACTTTCGTCGGTGACCAAATATATCGGCCAAGTGAGGCGGACGCAATTGAACCCCATGGAACCGATTTTCTGGGCGATCGTTTCCATGGGCAGTTTGCTGAGCCCCTCTGCCACCATGGGTTCCAAGTGGGAGACCAGGTTCACGCACGCCAGCTTCACTCTCCGGCCGCCGGCCGCGTCGTCGACGATCCATCGGGAGCTGGTGGAGAGAGGGAAAGCTGACGACGGTGAAGATGAAAGAAGGAAGAGGAAGAAGTAGTTGGTGAGAAGAAAAGAAGGAACAGAGTAATGCTTATTGGCCATGGCTGGCTCTGGCGGAGTGGGGGGTTTTGATGAAAGGAAACAAAATTTGGAGGTTGAGAGTGGCATTTTATATATAGTGGTGGTGGAAAACTTGGACTTCTTTTTTTGCTTCAAGTAATTAAACAATATGGTTGGATTGGTTGCCTTTGAGAGGTCTTGGATTTTATCTCTCTAATAATGATGTAGTGTATTGTCAGGATTCTAGAAACAGAAAATTTGTAGTGACAGTAAAATTGATTCTAATCTGAATTTGATGGGATCATTAGTTGGTGTGGTTCTTCAACCTAAGTCAGAAAGACAATGAAACTATCATTCAACATTCACCCATCTAGCATTCTTCTACCTAAAAGAGTGAAGGGCATAACATTGACCTAGGATGATGGAATTCCTTACTGGCGTGGTCATTCAAGGAAATCCTATGAATTTTAAAGTAAGAAAGAGGAGTGATTCGTAGTCAGAAAATCGAGTTTAGACATGTTATCATAAATTTTATGAGTGAATCAGTATTCAAGATATATCTATCGTAGTTAACGGTTAGTTGAAGCATATATGTGATGTCCAACATTTGTTTAAACGCAACAATCAACCTAATTACCTTGTTAGGCGTCTGGAAGACATTAACTATTGTATTAGGTTGTGAATCTATGTCTTATAGATGTCCCCATGTCAAACATTTCTTCTTCATTTGAGCTAATCAGATGCTCGTAGTTACACATCCAACCGTTTTCGGGTTTTCTACCCTCCTTTGGCATCACCTTGTGGTCCTAACGTTATTGGAGGCCTTTGTTTGATTTGGGTTATAACTTATAACGCATCGACCTTCGAGCTCTATTTTTACTTTTATGGCCTTATTCCATATCACAATATGGTGGATGTATGGTGAAGAACGATGCAAGTTTCACAATTTATCCATGTTGATGTTATTTCAAACAAAACTTATTAGTTAGGTAAGAAAAGAAATTTGAATCATAGCTTGTGTTTTACTTTTATAAATAGACTTTATTGCTCATGTTTGAACCGGCTTTTAGAAGTGCTTTTTGCCTTCAAAAGCTGAAGCAGGGCCAAACACCTCTAAAAGCTCAGCTTTTGAAAAGCCAAAAAGCGCTTTTGTATAACATAAAAGTAGAAGCTCCGATTTGGAGCTTTTGCGAAAAGCTGTTTTGAAAATACAAGATTATCCTTACCATATTTTAATTTTATTTAAGAAAATATAATTTTCCTTCATTTATATCATTTTAAAAATTAAATAAATTATAAAATCATATTATTTAATATAAAAGAAATCTAACAAGATCCATTTTGACTACTTTTATTGTTTAGAATTTTTATTTATATTTTATATTATAAGTCCTTTATAGTCATTTTACACAACCGCTCATATTAAAAAGCACTTCTAATAGTTTTATAGCCAAACACTAAACTGCTTTTTTTGAAAAGTACTTATCTAAAAACTCCAGCAGAAGCTACTTCTGCAAAAACTACAACAGGGCCAAACTAAGCTATTATTGCGCTTTAGTTTGTCCAGCAAGCCGACTAATCATATCCGTCCTAAATGAAACCTTAAAACTAATTTCTGAGCTTGTAATAGAGGGAATGCACTTATCTTGCATATATGAAGTTAGGAAGGAACTTACTAAGGCATAAATTTCTTGAAATAAGGGACTAAACCGTGATTTGAACAGCGTTTGGTGTAATATAATTCAATTTAATAAGTTGGTCTTTATTTTCAAACACTCAATTCCCCCATTTTGTTTCAATTCTTCTATTCTATGGATAAGAACTCTCGCTTGTTTTTATTTTTCTTTTTGAGTGCTTGACTTTTGGACTTTTGGAGTATAACAACAAGAGATATTGACAATGACAACTAATAAAAACATAATATATATATCCATATCATGTGGGTTTTCTTTTTTGTTTCTCCTTTCTTTATAAATGGACAGATCACACCAATGTAAAATATAACTCCCATCACTCCATTACCAACTAATCATCATTAGTCCTATAAGATCATTAAATTCAATTTAGAAATATGTAATGAAATATTTACTAATTTTTTCCGGTAATTGTTGAAGAATTTTATAGCTCTTAGCTAGGCCAAATCAGCATAGCCTTCCTAAAGAAATGCAGTTATGCTAAAACAGCAATTACAGAACCTATACACTTTTACAATCCTACCGCTCAGCTAATCTACTATGGTAATAATCCACACTTCACATTAGCTAAATCTGCAAAACATGACATAGCAATTACTTGCCCAAACTCCCTGACGGCTACGGTGCTAATTGTACAATAGTTAGCACCGTCCTAACCAAGGGAAAAACTACTTCTAGTTTGAATTAGTAGTGATTTAGCTTAGATGTTGTATTGATTTTATAATAATTCGTAGTGTTTTTTGCTAGTTATCACGGTGCTAACCCCTATAAGGGTTAGCACCTAATCCCATCCCCTGTTTCCCAAACTGAAGAGGTGTATAAATATTTATAAGATTCAATTTCAGATGGTGAAGAAAAGTTGTCATCGGTTTATTTTCTTTCCGGAAGTTCATTTTCTTAAAACCTTTCGTGAAAGCTATAACAAATAAAAGTTGAAACAACCTCTGTTTTCTAATAACTATAATGGGGTCTGACCGGTTGGTCGGGTGATTTTTTTTATCATAGTTTGAATATGAAATTAACAATTCAACTTTAGTTAACTGATAGATATAGATTTTCTCATATGCTTTATATGAGTCAAATGAGGACGTACACAAATTACTAATATTTTGATTATGTTTGTTCCACATGATCTTAATGTTCTCAAAGATTATGTTATTAATTGGGAACTAAGAATCAAAATATTAAAGTTCTCTGACCTTATCATTGCTATTTCAACTTTTTTTGGACATAATTATTCACCAAAAATCATTTAGCTCCTAACGTAGGTCTTATTTGAGGACGGGCAATATTTAACATACCAATTAAAAGGTAGGGTTTCATTTAGTTGTTATACTCACCAGTTACAAAAATTAGTAATGTTCATGTGGTCTCGACTCTCAAGTGAAATTTTTAGTTGAAGACAATGTACATACTTTGAGATTCATGATATTTTGGTGATGATTTCTTGGTTAATGCATTCCACTATAGCTTGTGAACTTTTACTTTGATGATTGGGTATTAATAATTGAGTAAATACAATTTAATATCCAAATCTTTTATTTTAAACAATATAATAGCCAAACCTTTTCGAAAACAATCTAATTTCCAAATTGTCAATTTTCTGTTTGTTTGACCGTTAGTTGACACTTCAAAAAAGTTCGAAGTACGACACTTCATCACTATCCATCGATATATTCTCTGAAAAACCACCAACATATCGTAGTTCCAAACCCGAGAAGTCCATGACTCCACCATGATGGTATAGAATATCGAAATATTCTATCATCTGCAATGCCAAAACAAGAAAACAAAGTTGTATTGTGACAATTTCCCCTAAACAAAGTTATATTATGACAAGTTAGATTGTTTTCGAAAAGGTTTGGCTATTATATTGTTTAAAATGAAAGATTTGGATATTAAGTTGTATTTACCCTTTATCCAATTTAGTTTTTTTTAATGTAAGCTAAGGAGCAATGTTCTAATTATTATTTATGAATTATTGGACGCTTTCAAAATTTATTTGACTTCATGTGCACCCCATTACTGATTCTTGCTAGAGATTTCTTGGTAATGGGAGATGTGAGTTTCGGCTTGGACAAAGTAAAAAAGATACAATTTTATTGGTTATCGGCGTAGTTGTTTCGATGGATGGAAGATGGAATGAACGTAACATAGGTATTCTACGGGATGAAAAATTGAGATAGCATTTTCTTAGAACTCTCTTGTTTTATAGTTTATCCTTAATTAGCAATTTAGAAAGATAAACAATATGAAAAAATAGTTATTTTATGTTTTAATGGACCGATATCTAATGGATTAGTTACGTACTCCTCTATCAAATTTGAATAAGTTAATATTAGAGCATTTATGAACTTTTATTTCAAGAATTGTAAATAAATAATAACCTTTGATCAAAAGGGTATGGAAAGGTATGGTTGTTTCCTCTATCTAACAAAGCACCATATATATAAGCTTGACCAAATTTTAATTTGTAGCTCCAAATAAGCTTGGCGTATTACTTTGCTTGCCTTTTCCCCCTTTTCGCTCCATCCCGTAACCGATTTTGGTCGCTTCACACTTTGGTCGTGCTCAATTCTTAAGGATCCGAAACAATTCTACGTAAATCCCCGATGAAGCATCGTAAATCCCATTTTATGGTATAGCATAGGATGGAAATGATAAGACGCCAAGCAATGTTATAACTTATAAGCAATTAAAGACTTGAGTTTGCTTTAGGGTTAGTTTGCTTGTTGGATTTGAAAAAGCAGTATTTTGGGATAAAATTTTGGATCTGTAATGGATTTGTTGCATTACCGATATATAGAGTTTATTGTTTGTATAATAGATTTGATATGTTTATGATGAATTTGTTACAAAGATCAAATATTAACCCATGTGATTGAATAAATCCTCATTTAATTGTTGCTAGTCGAGGACTCCTTCTTCTTCCTCATCTTCAAACTCTGATTCATACTTTTTATAGAAAAATCTTTTATCTAGGATAGAATAAGATCTATCATTCATCATACTTAAGGAACTCTTTTGTTTGGCCAAATAAGCAATGTCACTCGGTCATTATCAAATTAACTGGCGATTACAATATTTTTTTCTGCCCGTGGAGGATCCCTGCCATCAAGGAAGTTAAACCCTTCATCCAAATCCCAACATAATAAGTTAGATTAACAAATTCGAAATATCTATGGATTCGGATAAGAAGAAAGACCAAATATGCGAACGTCACGAATTTGACGCCTATCCAAAGAAATAAATTTGAATAAAATTCACAAAGTTTAAATTTTTAATACCAAATCCATAATCCAAATCAAATAATAAAAGGGCCACTAAATCAAGAAATAATAGCCAGTTTTAAGAATCATCACAGTTTTTGCCCATTCTTCCCTTTCTGTTTCTTGGCAAATGAAGTATGACGAATTGACGATGATCATGCTTCTTCCATTACATTGCTTTGAGATCGAGGAGAATATTTGTGACGTTCGATGGATCCAAAAGGCAATTTCGTTTTAAGGTACTTTCGTTATGGGATGAAGTCTGGTGTTTTTTCTTTCCCAAACGATCACTCATAAAAAGAGGATACAGAATCGATCCAAGTTTACAACCAAACTATCTACTATTGTACCAGGCTACATAATCAAACCCCCTTTGAAAGGGAGGTGACAAACTCAGAGCACGACGGGCCACGGAATGAGCCACTCTGTTGAAGTTACGACCTATGAAAAGTACTTGCGAGTCTCCAAGATCACCTAGTATAGCACCGATCTTGCCGTCCGAAGTGTCAAAGTGACGACATTTATCAATAACGACCTTAGCATCACCTCCAACAACCACATTACGGAGCCGGCGGCGCACATATTCCTGCAGACAGTCACGTAAAGCCAAAGATTCCAAAATATAAGGATTCTCAATCCCAGCATAATGTTGAGCCTTTGCCACCTGCAGACCTCCAGAATCGTCAAACAAAACAAAAGCAGCCACCCCTGCGGAACCTGTTTTCACAGCAGCATCAAACATAGCATGACACCGTGAACGAGGACCTGCAGAAGAAGAAGAAAATGGAATTGCAGAAGCAAGGTTGAAGAATAGCCATGTGCCCATGTCCACCTCTTTAACTTGATGTCTGGTCCTCGTGTGGCAACATGAAGTCTGGTGTTAAATGAGATGTAATTTTGTAAATCTAAGAAATATTTTTGGGCCGTAGAGCGAGTTCGGTGACCATGATTTTCACCCGAGTTTCTCTCAGTTACCTGGGCCACAGATACAGCCCAGCCCAGCCCAGCCCATTCAGTGGAGAAGGCCGACGTAGGTAGCTGGGCCTTCAAATATTCCACAGGTATATTTGAATTGATACACAATACATGCGTGGGTAAGAAGTTTTCTTTGAACCCCACTTGAATTGAAGTGTAATGAAACCGAGAAATGGACACAGCTATATCGAGATATGAAATAAAGAATTTTCTAACCTTTCTCATATAAGGGATTCATACCTGTTGTAGTCTGGTTCTTTTCAGCCGTCATACAGCCAGCCAGTAGTAACAAACCAAAAAATAAAAGACAGACCTATGCTCAATATTTCTCAGATTCCCCTGCAGCTATGGAGGAAATAACTCAAAACTCTGTACAAACGATAGTATCTGTAGTTCCTGAACTCCCCTTCTCTTAACATCAAGCCAAAGCCAAGCCCAAGAACTCCCACAGCAAACTCCTCCCAGACGAAAATCCACGTCTCCTCGATCGCTGCTGCCTGGACCCCGACGGCACCCCTCTGTCGTTCGGCTTCCTGGTGCTGTCAACCAGCTTGAACCACTGGCTTCCCGGGTCGCATCTCTCCTCCACCCTCACGCACTTGCAAGGGTTCGCCACCACATTGTTGTCCGAGTCCACGTCTAAACAACCCGACGTCCCATCTTTGAGCTTCGTCGAGAGGTGCATCTGGGAGTCGGTGATCATCTCCCACGTCGAGCAGTCACCATTGAGAAGTTGTACTGGTCTCCATAACTGATCAGCCCTTAAACAGGAAGGGGTAGTAGTGCCCTGCACTGATAGAGTTTGTCCAGTGTAGCTCCAGGGGTCGGACTTCCAGCAAGCTCCTAGCTTTAAAGGGTCCAAAGGTGTTAGGCCTCTAAGGACACAGAGTCCTGTCGATGGGTGGAAGATCAACTTGTGGATCTCCGCCTCAGCTAAACCAGGTCCTGCAATTCAACAAACCTGATCTTAGGGGTTGTTTGTTAATCAGGGAAAGTACAATGATATTTGTACATTCTGGAAATTTATTGAGAATTGACATATAGTTCGGTTTCAAATTCAGATGATTAGTTGTGAGAAACCACGTATTCTCAAAATTATAGGTAAGGGAACCGGACTACCAAAGAAGCTACAACTAATTCAGGGAGCAAGAGAACCGAAAGCAATGTTACCTTGGAAAGGTCTCTGAAGGGCAGAGAGTTTCTCCAAGAACCATGTATTCCTAATCTCAACCCAATCCCAATTCAACAAACCGTAAGGCTCACTCATCCCTACAACTCCTTCTCCTAAATAGTAACTCCCGACAATCGTCCATATCGCCCAATCTACATCAAGCTCAGCTGCATATCCAAGGAAGCAATTTATGAACCGTTCATCATTCAAATTCGTCCCCGTTTGATCAATCCCAAACTCACTCACGAACAACGGATACTGCTGATCCAACAAGAACGTGGCCGATCTCTTCAAATGATTGATCACAATCCCACAGACCTGATTCGTGTTCCCATCAGCCCACCCGTCTCCATCTGTGAACCCGTACCAATGAACTTCGAACACTAATTTCTTGCTAAACGTCAAGTTCACTGGCCGGTTGTTCAAGAACGACAAGTCTCCATCGTAGTTCAGCCCTGAGAGGATAACGAGAATGTCTGGATTTGCTGCGTGAACTGCTTCAGCTCCTCTTGTCATGTACCTAAGCCGCCAAACAAATTAAAGTTCAGAGCTTTCATGATCAGAAATCGAGGCAGGGGGATTCGATTTTATTACCTGTACCAGTCGTTGGAGTTCTGTTTAGGCCCACGAAGCTCGTTTCTCAAGCTCATCGCAACCACGTTTGTGTAACCTCTAAACATGGCGGCCATTCGAGTAAGGCCATCGACCCATAAATCAGGGGTGAAGTATTCATCGCCGAAGAAACCATTCCCATCGTAATCTCGACAGCACCAACCCGGCTTGGTGACGTGATTGTCCAATACCACCATCACGTTGTTTTCCCCAAGCCGCCCTACCACTTCCTGAACAGAGCAAAACTCTTGGTAACTTCTTTCTTTTTCTCTGTGGCATTTTGTCAAACGACAAGCAGGCATACCACTGGCCAACTGCAAATCGGGACAAAAGTAGGTACCTTGAAGGCCTGGAGAAGGGAGAGGTCGATGATGGAAGGATTGTGAGTCTCCATTCCGGCGATGGGATCGTCCAATTGGAGGCGCCGGAAAGATTCTCTGACGGTAGTGGAACCCAGAGTGGCGTTGGTGACCAAGTAAAGCGGCCAAGTGAAGCGAACGCAATTGAAACCCATTGAAGTTATCTTCTGGGCGATTTCGTTGATGGGAAGTCTGTTGAGGCCCTCGGCCACCATGGGTTCCAAGTGGGATGCCAAGTTCACGCAGGCGAGCTTCATTCTCCGGCCGGTGGAGTCGTCGACAATCCACCGCGATTCGGTGGAGAGCGGGAATGCCGATGCTCGGTGGAGAATTGACGAACATGAGAGGAAGAGGAGGAGGAAATGGAGGACGGAGTTTCTGGTAATGGCGGCGAAGCGGTAATTGGGCTGCTGTTGTAGCTTCGCCATGGTTGACGAAGTTCGGCTTCTGAAACTTTTTGCAACGAGTTGTTGAGCGAGACCGCTACAAATTTATACTTGCAAAATACAAAAAATAAAGGAAGATATTATATTATCATTTATTTGCTTTTTTTTCCTTCCTATTTATTAAATATTAACCCTTTCATCTTCATCATCATTTTTTTTTTGTCTTTTGTTTAGCTGGTAATAGTTAACCCAAATCGGTCTCAATAGTAAATTTATTGGAATGTATTTACAGTTATCTTCCAGATTCTCGAACTCAACTACACTCTAATTAGCAATTAGATAATTTTTATTCTGGTTATAATAATCAATCGATTGTGCTAAGATAATTAATTAATTAGCAACTGTATCAGACATTATATCATCTCCGGGCGGAGCCAGAAATTGGCGTTTGAGGGGGCCGGAATAAACGGGTGAAATCCCATAATACATATATTTTTAATAAAAAATTTCAAAATACACACGTTATAAAAAAATTTCCCAAAATACACATGTTTGTGCATCACCGCTGTTGTGAACCGCAGTGAATGCATTCACCGCGGCATACCAAAGCGGTGAATGCATCACCGCGGTTGACGGCCGCGGTGAATGCCTAGCGTAACACTGAAACTTCAAACAAACGTAACTTTGCGCTCGGTTATCCGATTGTAGCGAAATTTTTTTGATTCCATATAACTTTTCAAGATCTTTCAATCTGCAGTAAGACTTAATATAAAAAAATGTCGTTTGTTACCCCGAACGAGCAATTTTTCGATTTTGGCAAACTTTGGAAGACCATAACTTTTAGCTCCTCAATCCGAACATCATAAAGTTTTTTTTTATTGCGCATAACTTTTTAAGAACTACAACTTTTACTAGTAAATAATTTTAAAAAAAATAAATGTTTTTGGGTATACGGGATTTTGCCATTAACTTTGCCTTTACTTTTCACAAATCCACATACTTTCCAAAATTATGGTTTATAATAAAAGTTGTAGTACTTCAAAAGTTATGCAAAATCAAAAAAAGTTTCATGACATTCAGATTTTGGAGCACAAAGTTATGGTCTTCCAAAGTTTGTCAAAATTGAAAAATTGCTCGTTCGGGATAGCAAACGAATTTTTTTTGGGATGAAGGCTTGTTTTAGATTGAAAGATCTTGAAAAATTATGTGGAATAAAAAAAAATTTCGCTACAATCGGATAACTGAGCGCAAAGTTACATTTGTTTGAAGTTTCAGTGTTACGTCAGGTATTCACCGCGGCCGTCAACCGCGGTGATCGTTCACCGCTTTGGTCTGCCGCGGTGAATGCATTCACTGCGGTTGACAACAATGGTGATGCCCAAACATGTGTATTTTGGGAAATTTTTTTATAACGTGTGTATTTTGAGAATTTTTTTTAAAAACATGTGTATTTTAGGATTTTTTTTTCGGAATAAACTAGAGTACTATAGTAGAATAAAAGAATATAGTAATTCATTATATAACCAAATAAATCCTTAAAAATATAAATTTAAAAAGGTTAACTGAACTAGTTTGAAATTACAAAACTCATCAATGCTCTTTGGTGAAATTAATCAAATGAACTAAATTAAACTAGTATAAAAGCAACAAATTGAAAAATTGAAAAAACTGTTCTTTGTGAATTCGAACTCAGGCCTGAGGGGAAGAAAAAAGAATGCTTTCCGCTAGACTACATTCATGTTCAGCTCTACACAGTTGTACACGACTGTTTTTGTTCATTAGTATAACTGTATTTATTTATTAATATTTAATTTATACGTAATTTTTCAAATTTTGTACATGATATCAGAATTTTTGGGGGTCGGGCCCCCCGAGACCACCTAGCTCCGCCCCTGATCATCTCATATTCTCATTGTTGTTACCGAGGATAAATTTCTTATGTATGAGAAAAAGTAGAAATCCCTTCGATGTGGGAGCAAGAATTTGTGGGAGATTTAGTTAATTAAGTATTGTGAAATTAAAAATAAATATAGTGTTTGTTTTTGTAGAAATAAATATAGTGTTTGATATATAATGTTGTGATAAGGAATTTTTAACTACGTGTGCGCATACGAAACAAAACACGTGGAGTTTTTGAAATGTAACTCAGCATGTGCAGAGCCACACATGCTTAGTGAAATTCTGTCAAATTCATTGTTATAAGAACTGAACCAGATCAACGGGTGGGCCAGTAGAAACGTCAAATCAGTTACGATAGTGGTCTGGTTCATTGCTTATACGGTTATTGATGGACCAAACGATTTTTCCTGGTTCAAAATAAAATCAGATGAACCACCACGATTTAACTGGTCCACTGGTTCACTATTTTAACCAAAAAAAAAAAAAAACTTTAACATAAACTAAGATCATCAAACCATAATTGTTAATTTTATATATGCATCCTCTTATCATTCCAACCTTGTTGTCGACTTTACGTTGTCTACTATCGATCGGCACCTTAATTTTTAATTTGAATTTAAAAAATATGATTTGTGTTTATGCCAAGTAACCCAGCGTTCCCTCGGTCAATGCGCTCCTCCTCTTCCCGTCCGCCCTTTAGGTTCCCCTCGTCCCTGCACAAGGAGGCGCCCACCGAGCCCCTTACTTAGGGCTCGTTAGCACTCCGACGCCCAAGTTAGAACAGTATTCTAGAGAGAGAAGTAGAATATAGTTTTTAGAGAGAAGTCCAACCTGAGTAAATGAGCTCCACCCACTTCACTATTTATACCCCGGGTAGGGTCGACCACTGCCCCCCCAAATCCGCCCTACGTCATCACCTCATTAAATGCATTGTACTTTACCGCTGCCATGCGCCCCGACATTCTGACATCAGTTCTCGACCCCGAGGCGCATGACTCCACATTATGTCTCCTCCGTACGTTCCTGGCCGTTGCCACCTTTGTCGTTATGCGCCTTACTTCACGCCCGGTCCCACCACCTAGGTTACAGCCCCCGGCCCCTTTTGGGTTGGGCCTTCCCCTTGCCAGGTCTGCACTTCTGGCCCACTTCAACTCTTTGGGCCCTTCCTTTGTGCCTCTTGCATGCCCCCTAACAATTGCCCCCCCCCCCCAGTTAGGCGCCTGCCCATTGGTAGGGGCCTAACTACCCTCGGCGTCCCGAGAAGCGCCTCCGGGCCCTGATTCGCGCCCCCTTTTTTCATCCTCCGCTGCCTTGCACGTAACGCCTCCAATGAGCGCCCACACTCCCCTCATTATTTACTCCCCTCTCCATTTCTCCCTCGTTAATTAATTTTTTTCCTTTTCCATTAATTGCGGGTGGGCCGTTGGGCTCCGCCTCGCCAATCGGCCCATTCTCTCTCCCCCCTAGGCTGAAGCGAATTCGAATTTCGAAATTTGAATTGGCCTCAGCCTAGGCGACGGTTCGCCTCCCTCGCTTCGCCCTCTCTCTCCTCCTTTTTGGCCTATAAGTTGCCCCCAATTTTTTGCTTGTCAAATTACGGACCGCCCTTTACTTACGCGCCTTGTGGTCAAACGTCGCGCCCCTCGAGGGGGAATGGAAAATATCGCTCTTATCTTACGCTTTGCATGAGCGCCACCTGCGCCCTACTTTAGCGCCCCCTATTTCCCATAGCATTCCCCCTTGAGCGCCTTTCTTGACCTCCTCCTCTTCTTCTAACGTAGGCACTGGCGCGCCTCGAGAATTCGGGATAAGCCAATGGGGCAACATGTGGCCACCTGGGTATATGCCCACTGACATTGACCTAATGTCCGAGGTGGACGCCGGGCCACCGCATACGTCCAAAATCCTATACTCCCGCTTCACCAAACTAATTCGGGCAGCACTGATGCCCGCCGACTGGCTCTACGCGCATCCCTCTCCCATCGCGCGCGTGGGGGTTCGCGGAGAGGGTTGGATAGGCTTATACCAAGAATACGCCCGTTTTGGGCTCCGCTTCCCCATCGAGCCAATTCTTGAAGGCGTGCTCCACCTGTGCCAGTGTTCGCTAGGGCGCCTTTCTCCCGTCATCATCATGTATACAGTGCTCTTTCGCCTCAAGTGCCGTCAACATAACATCCTTCCTTCCTTCAAACTTTTTCGCCATTTTTACGTTATGGTTAGAAGTCCCAACTGCTTCAGTCTGCAAAGGCGCCCAAAACTGGGGTACAACTTCATTAGCCACTGCAAGAAGATGGGGCACTCGTGGTTCGAGTCTTTTTTCTTCGTCCGCCCTCGCGACACGCCTTTCTTCGAGAGCGGCGCCGCGCCCCTAACTCAGTGGTCCTTCAGGGATCAAACATGGCGCGGCGCCTCGCGTCTGTGCCCCTGAACCTTGAAATAAACGACGAGTATGCTCGTCACTTGGCGGAATTCTACGCGGATGGTAGTCTCATGCGCCTACTATCATGCACCTTTTTTTATGCGCCCGGCGAACGCACACATTCTTCTCTTTTCAGGCACAGTATTCACCTACCTCTCCGACCTCATTCGCTCAAAGATCAATCTCATCCCCCCTGCGCCTCACGCGCGCGGCAAGACCAACAAGGCGCCCGTCGCACTGTCACAGCCTCCACACAAGAAGCCTGTGCGTGTGAGGATCGTTTCCTTGCCTGCCGTGCCGGCGAACCGCGCGCCTCGTACTGCTGACACCGAGCCACCCTAGCCATCATACAACTCCCCCATCCATATTGACGACGAGCAAGGCGCCTTCCCATCGCAACAGAGCCAGGGCGCCTCCCGCTCCCTCCAAGATCGAGGCGCCTCTCACTCGCCCCGCAGCCAAGGTGCCACCTCCTAGACTCCTACACGCGCCTCCCAGTCCCAGGCGCCGGAGAAGAGGCCTATCGAAGAGCCACTCCTTTCGGCCGTGAAAAAAGCCAAGTTGGACCGGGTGATTGCTTTAGGCGTGCCGGCCAGCTTGGTGATGCCAAGCGTGGGGGAGCACACAGGGAAGACGTTGCCCCCCCTATTTTCAGCCTCCTTCCCGCCCATTAGAGAATATTTTTGTAGGCGTGGCCGTCAAGGCGGCCAAGGACCCCAGCGCCGCCATGCAGATGGTGCTATCACACGCTGCGGTGATTGAGCGCCCCGACCATCTCAATTCCAGCCGCCCCCTTCGCACCATGGCCAACCTCTCTGTCCAGGTAAGGCGCTTGTCTCTTCAGCTTTCTAGGTTTCTAACTGAGCCTTCTTTTCATATGTCTAAGTCGATAACCTTGTTATATTGTGCATATGTCAGATGATGATGCTGATTGAATCCACCGCGCGTGAATTCGATCGGATGGCTAAAGAGAGTTTGGCCTCCGACGACACTGCGGAGCGCCTCCGTAGTGAGCTGGACGCCGCCCGTGAGACGCATGAGGCTCTGACCCATGCCCGGGACCAGGCACAGAAGGAGGCCCAGGCTTGGGCTGCTAAATTATCTACCGGCCTCGAGGCGGAGCGCGAGAATATAAAGGCGTTCGTCGAGAAGGAGTGCCGGGAGCGCTACGAGGCCCAAGCCGCCGCTACGCAGGCGGAGATGAAAGAGGTGGAGCGGAGCCTGCGCGAGAGGCAGGCAGAGCTGATTGAGGAGCGTGACAAATATCACGCGGAAGCGGAGGGGCGCCGTAGCGAGGCGCGAGGGTTCTCGGAGGAGCTGAAGAGGGCAACCAAGGCCAATGAGTAGTACATGAAAGAGCTGAAGGCGTCCGAGGCTGACGTGAAGCGCCTCAAGATAGACCTTGCTAACTACAACAAGTCGGAGGTAGGGAAGAACCTCCAGGCTGACACCATGATCGACACGGCGAAGATTCTACAACAGAAGTTTAGCAAGGATCACCCGAGGTGGAGTGGGACTCCATGGCCTTAATCATGCATATCCTCAGTTTCATGGACAGCGGTCGCAAGGCCAGCGAGCTGGAGCCCATCGTGGGATTGGACGTCCCGCCACCCGCTGCTGAAGAAGAAGAGGGAGATGAGGAGGAAGTCGAAGGCGCGCGAGGCGAGGATGAAGAAGTCGAGGGGCAAGAGGATGAAGAGAGGCGCTCCGCCGAGCCACAGGGGACGCCAGAGGGTGCGGTGCGGAGTGAGGAAGAGTAAAGGGGCGCCCTCACTACTCGTCTTTTTGTTACTTGTTGTCTTAGCTGTTGTGGACAATTATTTCTATCAATGATTCCAGAAATTTTCCTTAGTTATTTCACTTTCATTTGCCTTAGTTATTTCACTTTCCGAGCGTGACATGCATCATACTAGTTGCAGGTGCATACGATCCCAGGGGCGCATTATATTCTCGTCCCCTTGTCGCCCTCATGTTTTGTTGCTGCAACCATGGGAACTTAACTTAGTGAAGTTTTTTCAAGACAGAACTGTTGTGCGTCTCTTGATCGGTGCTCTCGTCCAACTTACGTTGGGGCGGAAGAGTAGGGCTCTTAATACACAGGGCGCTTTACATAGCTCGCACGTTTGGGCGCTTTATTGCGAAGGGCGCGTTAGGTTTTTAGACTTAGACCCAAATGGGACTTAACAACTGCTAACACCCTTCCAGGGCGCAAAGGTAGGGCGCTTTACCGTAAATGTTGCTATAACGTCAAGGCGCAAAAGTAGGGCACTTTGCAGTAAATGTATTAATAATCCTAGGGCGCAAAGGTAGGGCGTTTTACCGTGAATGTTGCTATAACGTTAAGGCGCAAAGGTAGGGCGCTTTCCAGTAAATGTATTAATAATCCTAGGGCGCAAAAGTAGGGCGCTTTACAGGTACATTTTTGCGTCGTGTGGGGTGGCGCGCTTGCAGTAATAGTAATCCCCCTACACCTAATCGACCTACCCTCGATCACTGGCCAAAATGTGGGCGCCCCTCCCTGCGTTTCAGACGTGTTACTCCAAGACCTCCCATGCCTCCATCCCGTGGTACACCTTGAGGTTCTGTGCGTTCCATGTTCGTTTGATTGCTCTCCCCCCAATCCGATCCAACTTGAACGTGGTCGGGCCTATCACCTCCCGTACACGATACGACCCCTTCAACTTGGAAGCGAGCTTTCCTTCACACGCCTTCGGTTGGAAGTCACGTCGCAACACCAGGCTGCCCAGGCGTATCTGGTGTGGACGCATCTTACGATTATAGTACTTGGCCACCTATTGTTTCATGGCCTCGAGGCACACAGAGGCAATGTCTCTCCGCCATTGGTCGACTCCTCATATCCTACCACCCGATATGTGGGGAAGCGCACCTCCACCGGAATGACTACCTCGCTTCAATAGGTCAAGGAAAACGGGGTCTCCCCCGTTGCCACCTTGTGTGTCGTCCTATGCGCCCACAGCACACCTGGAAGCTCCTAGGCCCATCTCCCCTTCGCCTCTAGCAACCTATGGAGTCCATGCAGGATGCTCTTGTTAGCCGCCTCCGCCTGCCCATTGGCCTGAGGGTAAGCCACGAAGGAAAAGCGCAGGACAACGCCACTTTCGTCGCAGAATTCGATGAACTGACGACAATCGAACTGCTTGCCGTGGTCAGCGACGATTGATTCCGGCAACCCAAAACGAGTGAAGATGTTCTTGGTCGTGAACTTCCTGACTTGGGCATGAGTGATGGTTCCTAAGGGTTCTGCTTCCACCCACTTGGAGAAGTAGTCCACTGCCACGATTAGGTACTTCATTTGACCGGGCGCCTTAGGGAAGGGCCCCCGCAAATCCATCCCCCACTGTGAAAATGGCCACGCTCCCACGTTGCCTTGCATAGGCGCTTGTGGAACATGCACGTCGTGCGCATGAATCTGACATTGGTGGCAGTTGTCCACATGCTTCTTGGCATCCTTTCTTATGGAAGGCCAGTATTATCCTTGACGCAACAACACCTTCTCGAGACTCCTCGCTCCTGAGTGCATGCCGCAGGCGCCTTGGTGCACTTCCTCTATCGCTTTTCCTCCCTCTACTTCCGTGAGACACTTCAAGTAGGCCCCCGAGTGTGACCTCTTGTACATTTGACCAATGTTGTCAGAACCGAACCACCATATGAACCGGTATTATAAGCGGCTCGCACTTTATTGGTTTAACCGCTAACAAACCGTTATAAACCCGTTATCGAACCGGTGTCTAAGAAATAGAATTATTATAAATAGAAATCATTAATGTTATTATAATTATATATCTATTCTAATATATTCAAACAAAAAATTATATATAACAAGTAAAGAATATTATTGTACAGAAATATAAATTATTTAAGTATAACACTGTTGATGCCAAGCTAAAATAGCTGACCTCGAACGTTGTAGAGTCCGGAGAGCGTTGACCTTTTGATCTGCCGTTGGATTCCAGCTCTCGAGATGAATACCTGCACAAGAGGACCCGCCGGTTGTGGTCGGCTGGGACCTTCTCCAAAGCTCAAGTTAGTACTTGGGAATAATCGGGAGCGGCGTATAGAGCCGTCTCTAGGGAGAAAGAAAGAGAAATTTTGGGGTTGGGAGTTGCCAATTCGCCGAGAAGAAGTTCGTCGGGAATTCCCCTTTTCCTATCTCTTTCAGAGAAAATGAGTTCCCTGGGATTGAGATGGATTGCCGAGGAAGCAGAAATGAACGACCTATTTATAGGCGCGTCCTGCTCCTGGCGGGGTTGGCGTATCCTTTATCCGTAGTGATTTAGAACATAAAACAACAATTTCACAACTTAATTTTGAGAAACTTACCTTGGTTGGGAGTGAATAATCACCCATGTACCATTATTATCTTTACCGGCACAATAAACCCCACATGTACAAAGGAAATAAAATTGCATACCTTCCCACCTTTCTCCACGTGTAAGTGGTACAAGAGTTAAAGGTTTTTTTTTGGATCCTAATTCAGCTCATGCATATGGATAGGTGGGTGGTAATTGTTAGAGCACCTTTACATAAACATGGAGAGAAATGGTAACTTGGCCACCACCATCATTTTCATGTAGCCACGTAGGGAATTGTGGAGACTTTGTTGGTGAGAGAGGAGAGTAGTCTTGTCCAAGTATTTAGGGGAAGAATTGGGTGGATTTACATGTGTGTGTTTAAGTGGGACATGTCTTCTCAATGGAAAGAATATGGAAGTTCTGATTGGTGGAGGGAAGTGAAAGACATAAAGAAAACCCTTGGCCTTGCCAACTACAAGCCACGTGGAATGAAGGGATTTACTTGACCCCTTTTTATTCATGGTGTATGTGATTGTGTGGGTTAAAATGAGGGGTGGTATAATTCCCCATCAACCTAACCATGTACATGTGTCAAAATGGAGCATGAGGTGGTATAATTCCCCATCAACCTAACCATGTCCATGTGTCAAAATGGAGCATGAAGTGGTGATTTTAAGGAGTTACTATCTCCATGAAATGAAAAGTGGAAAGTAGATGAAATGCCACCTAGCTTGCCTTCCACGTGGGTTGGTGAAAATGGGAGAGTAAGTGACTCATGTTTATGGGTAGTTGAATGAAAAAGAAGAGGATCTATCAGATTGCCCCCTTACTAATAGGATGATAAGAACCTCCTATTAGTAATCGAGTTCCTATAAATAGAGAGGGATAGTGCTCCTCTTTTAGTCACTCCCCATTTACTTGCCCCCTCCTTTTAGTTCTTTCTGCTCGTTAAACCTCTCCATATGCTACCCTCCCATTTGCTTTCTTTCCATTTGCTCACTCCCTATATACTTGCCCTTAAAATACGGTGAGCTTGGAAGCGAGCTCCTTTTCTCCATCTAAATCCCACGTCCACCAAGTTCTATGTTTTTATCCATGGGTTCCCGTAGAGACAACCTTCATTATTAAAGTTAGATAATATACCCAATCCAACTTTACTCTTGACTTTTTATTTTGTTGCTGTTTATATTAATATGTGAAATGTATTTGCTTTTTGTTTCATGTGAAGGTTTACTATTAAAGATTTAAGGTTGGAGTAATCATGTCAACGAAAAAGTCTAATGTATCTGAACATCAAGGATTACCTGGGTCACCAGTGCCTTTACGCTCAGTCTCATGTTCGGAGCTAGTTCGTGGGAGGGGTGAACAGCTAATCCCGGGGGAAGGATCATCTGCCTCAAATCGGCGAGACACATCAACATTCTCTATCCGACCATGGCATGGTATGTTTCATTCCACATCTCATTTCTCAGAATGGGCTATGATAGGTCCGGGTGGACGTTTTAATCGTAATGAGAGTTGGGTACAAAGTACTCTGTTGCAATTTGATATGCCGTGCCACTGGGAGTATGCGGTCCCGACACGGTATACTACCCCAGGCAATCGTGGTGTGGGATGGCATGCTGTATATCGAGCATCCCTCGATTATGGGCTTCGTTTACCATTTCCGACGTGGCTATGTGATGTGATGCGGAGATCTCATTTGACGTTAAGCACGGTGACACCAGGATTTTGGACACTTGTTGCTGCTTTTCGTTTGGGTTGTCACAGGGCCGGTGTGTCACCCTCAGTAGAAATTTTTTATGCATGCTTCTACCTTCGTGGTGAAGCTACTGGATGGTCTCTTCATAGTAGATCTAATGCGCTTGGCCTCGTGACTCCATATGGTCGTGCAGACCGGGGTTGGGAACGTGAGTTTTTCTATTTCTTTCCAGCTTCAGGTGAACTTTCTTCTGAGGGTGTTATGATCCCTACTGAATGGAGGGATATCGAGTTGGAAGGACTTCACAGACAAGCAGTACGTAGAGAATACGTAGTACAAAGAGATCTAGCCGCCAAAGTGAAAAGGATATCAGAAGGAGGGCGGATTAACGTTGAGACTCCTGAGGCTCGGGCTATCCTCTTTTTCACGGTCTATAATGATGGTACGTTTGGGTATTGTTTGTTAATATTTGAGTGATTCCTTATTACCTATATGTTTTTTTCGTTTTTGTTTTTGCAGCGTACTCGCGTTTTAGAGCATGCATGGAAATTCAAGAGAATGCCCTATTTACCGCGAGGTTACCGCCGCCTGCCCCCCGTCCTCAAAGTGGTGTGGTGATCCATGAAATTTCCGAGGAGCCCGAACCAGCAGTGACGACTTCGATTGGTGGTCAAAACAAACGAGTGCGTCACTCCTCTCCATATCGAGGCAAGAATTATGATTCAAGAAGGAAATTCGAGGCTAGTAGCTCGAGCCATTCTACCCGCGGGGGCGAGCATAGTCGTTTTCAGAAGGCGAGAGCATAGCATAACTCAGAGTCCCATCGCCGGGGTGGTCAAGGCACCCCAGGTAGAGGAAGGATAGATGTCCCATTTGTTATGAACTACCAAACCTTGCGTGGTATCGGGAATCAATTTCCTCCTCTTGAAGGCGAGGCTGCCGGTGTTTGCTTTGCGTTATCGCAAAACCAGGTAACTTTATTGTTAATTAGTTAACGTAAATTGTGATGAGTTAACTAACCTTAGTGTTTCCTGCAGATGAATCAATACGCCGCCGAGATGGAGAGGCGCATAGCGAGAGCAAGGGCAGAGGTTATGACAGCTCAACAAAATGTTGTACGCGTAGAGCATGATCTTCGTAATCAAACTAGGAAAGTGGAAGAAGCAAGGGGTCGTGCTAGCGAGGTTGAGGCAATCCTCCGCGAAGTTCGAAATCGCCAAATGATCACTTCAGAGAGGCTACAAGAATTGGAAGCCTCAGGAGCAGCATTGCTACAGGAGATGACGAGACTCAAGGAGGATCATGCTACTGAGCATGAAGTTCTTATGGCAGAGCGTGATGAAGCTCGTGCAGAGACAGTACGACTGCAACATCAAGTGCAACAGTCGGTGGGGGAAACCTCAGGACGCGCCATGCTCTTAGTGGGTTCACGTGACATATTTCCAGAGGCTGAGTCTGACGAGGCACGTGTCCCAGGAGAGGCGGATACCAGAATTGAAGGAGTTCCATCCGAGGAGGTGATGATGCATCGTGATAACCTGGAGATTGGGCCTTTCATTTCAACCCCGATATTTGATACGGCTTCTGCGGATCAATCATTTATTGCTGCAATGGATAGCCCGATCCCGTCAGAGTTGGCGATGTCTGCTGAGAACGCCTGGGTGAATGAAATACTTGGCTTCGATCCTCCTATGTGAGATAGTGTAGCTTGCGGTGGTAGCAAACTTTTCTCTGTACAGGTAGTATCTTGCTCCGCAAAGATATTCGGATATATTACCTATGTGTGCCATGTTTATGTAGCAGCATATCTTGCCTATGTACATTAGTAGTTCGTCATAGATATGTAACCGTGCATTTTGCGTTGTACATATAACGGTTTTTAATAAAACTAGGTGGTGACGTATCACCATTTTATTTCAAACCTTTTGTACATGTCGCAACAAACACGTAATACATATTATGGCATATACTATGTACGTATTATGGCATACTCGATACATATTATGGCGTAAAGTACCTTCGAAGGTGCATGGTGTTCCAGGTGCGGGGAATATTTCGACCACTAGCATCAGAAAGCTTGACAGTGTTTGGACCGACCACTTCGCGTACTCTGTAAGGTCCTTCCCATGGTGGATTGAACTTTCCTAAGCTTGTTTTGTGGTAAAAGTTGCGGCGGAGAACCCATTCACCTTCACATATTGGTCGCTGCTTTACTTTGGTATTGTAGTAACGAGCTACACGTGCCTTCATGGCTGTTATTCTGAGGAGAGCGTCTTCTCGACGTTCTTCAATGAGATGGAGGTCATGAACGAGCTCCTGTTGATTATCGTTGGGGTGAAATGCTTCAATGCGGTAGGAAGAAAGTTCAGTTTCCACAGGAATTACTGCATCTATGCCAAAGGTGAGGGCATAGGGTGATTCCCCTGTGGCTGTTTTATAGGTCGTGCGATGGGCCCAAAGAACATGAGAAAGTTCTTCCGCCCACTTTCCTTTTGCTTCATTCAGTCGAGTTTTTAGTCCCCAGAGGATGTTTTTATTGGCTGACTCTGCTTGTCCATTAGCTTGAGGATAGGCGACAGAGGCATAGCGGAGGAGGATGCCATACCGTGCACAGTATGTTTGAAGACTTTCACTTGTGAACTGTGTCCCTTGATCGAGTATGATGGTGTGGGGAAGACTAAAGCGACAAATGATATTTTCCCACAAGAATTTCTCGACTTGTTGGGCAGTGAGTCCAGTGATGGCTCTCGCTTCTACCCAT